ACATACTGTTATTGTAACTATAAGACAATATATAACCGCCATCTATAATAGTCGATAGCAAAAAAAAATTTAAAATTAAAGAAATTCTTAATAAATAATATACAAAGAAGAATTAAAAGAACTAGTTATAGTATCTAGTTAAATAAAGAGACTATCTAGAACTAACCTAAAAACCAGTCTCGGTATTCGATAATACAAAAGCTGCTACTAAATAGTAACAGCAGCTCCAATTAAATTTTAATTAAATATTGTACGAACAGAGGCCAAAAACTTCTATTTCTAGTTTTAAATTATACAGAGTCGAAAAGAACAAAAAAAAATATAATAAAAAAATATAAAAAAAAAAGAAGAAAAAGAAAGCAAGTAGTTTATTATTTTTTTAATTAAAAAAAGCTTTACTTAATCCGATAAAAGCAACTAACTACTACTATATTAAATTCTATTTATATACTATATTCAATCCATCAATTCTTCGATGATATTATAAGAAAGAACAGTAACTACTGTAGACTTATATTTAAATTCGGCCGGATTATAATAATTATAATATATATTATAATTCTTAAACTTATACCTAGTATAAGTACTACTCTATTATTCGGATAGTTATACAGTCTGCCGAAACTTTCTCTGAGTATTATATCTGCAAATATTCGGTACTACCAGACCACAGAAAATAATTAAAAAACTGTTAATATAAGAAGAGTATTCGGTATATATCTAACCGAATTAATACTATATAAAAAATCTATAAAACTATTTTATTTAAATAATAGTAAAAGCACCGACTTTCATCTTAAATTTAAAGTAAAAAAAGCGCCAGATATACTACTAATCCGAAGTATAATAAAGCTGGAGCAGAGTTTTATTTTTATATACTATAAGTTATATAGTTACCCATCTCTCTGTATTACTAGTACGAGAATTATATATAATAGTATACCGCATAAAAAAAAGAGCAAATTATAATTAGATATAACAACGGAAACTTAAAAGAAATTATAATAAAGAAAAATAAATATACTGTCCGACTTCTTAAAGTCACTATTCTCGGTACCAGAAAATAGAGGTATTATACAAACAGAAAAAAATTAATAAAAGCTCGTACAGGTAAGAACAGAGCAGATTAGAAAAAAAAATATATAAAAAAAAAATTTAAAAAGAAGAAAAAAGAGTCTGTTTATATAATACTTTGTATATTCTATACAAAGCTAATAGTTAAGTCTGACCACACCCTCGGAACCGGTTATATAGATAATACGAAGAAGAACTTTATTTACTGAAAAACTGCGATATATAATAAGCTGCAGAGGATTATACAAAATAAGAATAAAGCGGGAAAAAAAAAAAGCTTTTATTATAAAATTAAAACCCTAATATAGAGCTCGGTTTTAGATACTAGTTAGTATCTAAGATCTTGTAATACCACACACTAACTAACGCTAGCCTAGTATACATAAAAGAATTTCGTATAAATAGACAAAATAGCTCTCCAGCTATTTCTTCTTGTTCAAAGACACGTTTCGATTAGCACAATCTATCCGTCCCGTAACAAATACTAATATAAAATAAGAAAATAAAAATTAGATTAGATTATTTAATATTTTTATATATTTCAGTATAATTTAAAAAGAAATTTTATATTTAAATAGGTTTTTGGCGGGTAATCTGCGGATTAATATATCTAATCTGTAAATTAGCGGGTTCAGGTCTTAGATTCAGGATTTAGACCCGATCTATAGGTACGGGTTCTGATGTTGGATCCAAACCCGACCCGTGGCGAGGCCTATATAAAATATTGGATTCTAATCTAGATTTTAATAAAAGATTACATCATTAATAAAAACTTTTACACGAGTTTAAAATAAGAGAAAAATATAGACCAGGTATGGTAAAGATGATAGCAGGACAGGAAAGAAGTATATAGATATCTGGAGGAGAGAAAAGAGGGGGAAGAAGAAGAGGGAAAAAGGAACACTTGACTCAGCCTGGAGGGCCGGAAGAAATACAGCTTTGGGTCGGCCTCAGGTACACATCCGTCCCGGTCGGAAGTCAAGCTTCCTTGGCAGGGCTGGAAGTGATCCGGATCCCTGGGTTGGGTCGTCTTTGGCTGCGCCAATTTCTTGATTGGATCGAATCAATGTAGTTGCCTGGAGAAGTGTCACAAGTGTGTAGTAATCTTTCCCACGAACGCACTTATAAGATCAATCAGACCACACATAGTGCTGTCCATTCAAGCCCCCATTCTACTGACCTAGAGGATCCAGATGCTTGAGATAAGTCAGGCATTCACTGTTCCGTCGTGCAATCCATACTAAGAGTCAAACTACTCCCAGAGAGCCTTAGCGCATGCTGAAGAGCTCGTCGCGTCCACTGGGCAGACTCCACGCCCACCTGCGCCAGCACCCTCGGGTTGCGCTGGAGGGCGGAGGCAGCGACATTCAGCGGCCACACAATCGCCCGCCCACGCATTGAAAGCCCTTCTTCCACGTCTTTGCTGCCAGCACCGGCACCACTGATTACTGCGTGAGTGCTGCGGCAGATGTGTCGAATCATCTCCACAATGGTCTGCTCCGCATCCTCCGCGTAGCCGTTACACAGTAGGATATTTTGGCAGAGCATGATGCGCGTGGCAAAACAGAAAGTGCGGGGCACGGCAGTCCAGCTGGTCTCGTAGGCGTAGACCCGGGATGGGGCGCCGGGCCATTGCAGGATCGCGGGATCATCGGCCCTGACCTCCCGCTCGGAGTAGTGAGAACTCGGGGGTAGTTGGGCTTCCCATGCATCCAATGCATCATCGGCCGCGAGTAAGGTGCCGACCATGTTAGCCATGGCGTGGTGATTGAAGGTAACAGTGTACGAGTCGATCTCGGCTTGCCACTGTGCGAGGCGATACATGGTACAGAACAGATGGGCGGCCGAGAATCCCGGGTCCATCACCGCAGCCCACCATTTTAAAGGGAGCTGCGGTCGTGAGCGTTGGTTTAAGCAATTGATTACCATTAGCAGGTACTGATATTTGAGGAGATAGGGATCAATGCTGGCTGCCGAGGTGGGCGAGGCGATTTGCTGCCGAACCATGGAAATTGCTCCGTGCTGGTGGGCCGCATGCCAGGATTGCACAGGGTCCGGGCTGAGAAGGATTGAGTCAAAGAGCCCCATCAGCACAACCGAGACGACGGTCTCCGTGCTCGGAACCCCGTGACTTCGCTGCAGCTGGAGCCGAATCTGGGTAATAGCCTGCGAGTACTCGGTCCGCGCCATGATCTCCAGCTGTGGGACAGGCTGCTGCTGTTGACGCGAATGGTGGGCCAGAGCCAGGGCACGGATCGCCTGGCGGGTGGGGGAGGAGGAGACTCTGACTGATTGGTGGTAGAGTGTGGGTAACATCTGGAAGAATTCGATCCAGGGGTTAGAGACCTTGGCGCTGCAGTCGAAATCTCGATAGAATGCCGCGATAACCCGGTCGTGAAGATCCACCAGCATGCGGCTGGGGGCGCTGGGTTCACGCAGCAGCCTTGCCGCCTGGGTACGCGTTCGCCAGAGAGCAGCAGTGCGGGCTGCTGCTTTACTGTTCTCATTGCGAAAATCGAGCTCCAGGGCATCAGGATAGCTACACTCAGTGCCCCGACGGACGCAGCGACTACACTGCGGGTGCCCTTCATTGCACTTGATTATTCTCATCAGTGTCTCCATTCCCGAAAATCACCAATCGGGGACCATAGAGGAAGCAATGATCCTACCTTCACTTTCGAGCGACGGCACATGAGACAGCCTTTGCTCCGAGGGCTGCGCGTCGTGACACCTGTCTTCGTCTTGTTCTGCATTTTGTCCTGGTGAAAACCTTCTCATACAATTTGTGGTATCAACCGCCGACAAGACTTGATCCTGAACCCCTGTCACCTAACCAGACTGACCTGGGCACATGGCCAAGGCAGGGGCAGGGGTTTTATGGTTCATAATCTGCACGTCCGCCCCGCCCCGCTGTGGAGAACAGAACGTGGTCCGGCGAGTTTGATGGCCTCAACATTCTTCAGGAAAGGCTGTCGGCCGAATTTCAGGCCAATAGCAAGGCTTGCGGATATTGCCGTCGCGTCCCCTTCCGCAAATTGTCTAGTGGCGGGTCACTCAAGCCGCAGGCTGTGGGTCTGAATGGACAGGGGAGGCCTTGGCCATGCTTAACTTCTGGTGTGCGTTGAGCCGCTATCGGCGATAAGCCAGTACATCCGGACACTCTCTCCGCGCCCTGTGACTCAACTCTTAATTTATTACTGCTCTGGTATGAGTCAAGACCGATATGGCGTGCAGTTACAGCGAACGGATATTGTCCGCGGTCTCTTATTAAGAGTAAGGATGACTAGATTAATCAACAATTTTGGCCACCATCTGTCGGATCTTCCTTATGTCTGTGTCGCCCGCTGCATCGAAGGTCAAATCAGATGTTCTGTTTGCCGTCTGCCACAACCTCAACATGTCAAGAGGATAACAAACGGCATCCGGTAGACATTCCCGGGATGAGTGGAGAATGCAGTGGTAAACAACATAGCAGAAAGAGATGAACAATACCCAAAGGTGAAAGATCCACTAAGGGGAAAGAAAAGAACCACAACACACGGATAAACATCAGGGCCGCTCCGTATTACTCATCCGGTTACGGGTGACCACTTAAAGTCCCACCAGAAGCGGTCGCTCTGGGAAGTCGGGTAAACAGCAGAGCCGCAATCCCGGGCCTGGTAGTCACAGTTCCACCACTGGGCAAACTCCGCTCAAAACCCACCTTGTATTGTACTTACTGTATGTACATACCTGCCTAGTACTATCCAGGTACTAAGTAGGTACTGGCCCAGAGCCCCAGGCTGTCTGCCTGCCATCACAGCCGTTGAACCCTTACAAGTGTGGGGAATCATAGAAATTGACTCATATTCTCGTCTAGTTGTCAACCGCTTTACCATCGCTCCAAGAACTAGGAATCACACATCACAGCCCAGCCCACCCCTACCATGTTGGCGGCTATCAACTCAACTGTCATCAACACCGATGAATTCTTTCCTAGCATTTTACAGCCCCATGGAAAGGGTCTAGCTCACTGTTGATTCCTCCATCTTAGATACGCACTACTGACAACCACACAGAGAAACTCACCCCCTGGGTTTTCGAGCATGCTGACTCTGCCGATCTGTTCTGTGTTGATCGCTGGCCCAAAGACGAGTCAAAGGAGTTCCAAGAAATCTTCCACCTCTTCAACTCGTATGTCTCCGAGGCTAACCTCTTCGACGCCTTCCTCGCCGAGCCCGACCCCCTTCAAGCCTATTATCCCGAAGCCAACCCTATGACCCTGATCGCATTGAGCCGGGCTTGCTGGAAGATGTGGTGGGGAGAAAGGAGCTTGTAACTCTTCCACGAAAGAGCTGGAATTATTCTACGCGAGAGGAGTTTGCCCACCTGATGACCCTACAGGCCCTCCCTCGTGTTGAGAGAGCTGATGGAGAGTCTTTATCGGAAAATGGGTATGAGAGGTTCTGGACCTCGAGTCTAGTAAGTTCCAAACTGCTGCGGGGAAAGAGCGTTAGACTAAAGCACAGAAGCTTTCCTGTGGCCACGCACAGACAGTCATATCATATCGGCGGTCAGAGGTATGCAGCCAAGCCTGATGGCGCTATCACGATTCGTACTCAGGACCGAGACCTTCCTATTTTATTTTTCACGAGCGTAGGTCGACTCCCGTCCGAGCAGAGCCTTCACTACGCTTTCTAAACTGTCGATCCAGTGGTTTCAAATCAGACGTGGGGAGAGTTCCTACGAGAGACTCTGAGTATCATGCTCGGCCAGCTTGCATGCAATGTTAAATTAGGCCTCCGTGATCAGGAGATGCTTGTTCTTGGTTTCTACAAAAGGCAAATCTTTTTTGCCCGCGGGTTTTTTTGGGAAAGATCAGATATTGCGCGTCCATTCAAAGGGGTGTTCGGCCGATGAAACCTTTACTATAGCCTTGACGCGAGGATATGACCTGTCCTCCAAGAAGGATCGGGATGAAGCTGTAGAGAAACTGGTAGGGTTTGTAGATATTTTCTCAGTGGGAATGCACAAATAGGTAGAATGCAGGCTTTCTTTGACAATTAATGACAATCCAATCAAGTTCTGTAGGGTGCGAGGCAGTCGCTGAGAGCATTCCTTCTGTATGATTACCCCGCCATGAGCCATCTTCTGTTCCGTGCTCACATTAATTTCTGCGATCCTATCATCAATCGGTGTAAGTGTTGACTATTACGATGTGTGCCGCTCATCCAGCCCATTCAGCGGTCAATCCCCGGTGCTGAACAGGGGGAAATAGGGGCAGCCTAGGAGCTGGCTCCGCGCTCTATACGCTAGGAGTCGCCCTGCAGGCCGCAGGCCTCCCCGCACCGGTCTTCATTGTCGGCCGCGTCGGCATGGGTTTGGCGCTGGCACTCATCTCGAGTATTGTACGTGCCCGCTTCCACGATCCGTGCCTCATTCAGTAATGCTCATTTTTCCCTCCTTCCCTACACAGATCTCATAGTATCTGGTTGAGGTCTCCTCCGGCTCAGATCGAGGACGGATGTTTGCCTTTTACCTCATACAATTGACCTCGGGGAACGTCCTGGCCTGCGGGGTTAGCAGGGGAACCTCGCACTTTGCCGACTTCTGAGAATGGCGTGCGTACAGTACAGCCTCCTTTACCCCTATCTCCCCTACCTGACCTCTCACTTATCACGGAATTCTCCTAACAGGGATAACCATCTGTATACAGCTGCTGATAGCCGCTTGCATCGGGCTGAGCGCGCTCATCTGCCCCGAAGCACCCACCCTCCTCCCCCGCCGCAATGCCCGACATCAACAACGCACTGGCCGCAATGCAAAAGGCAATGGTAACGGCGGGCGAACACGCAGAGGGGCTGTCAACGCTGCAGCGGTTACGCGAGTGCTTACGCGAGTGCTTGCGAGGCACGGATCGGCGGCGGATGTTCCTGGGGATTGGTGCCGCGGGTCTGACGATCCTCACGGGAGCGAATTTCTGGTTCAACTACAGGACCAGCTTCTTCGAAGCGGCCGGGGTGACCAACTCGTGCTTGGTCTCGCTAAACCTGGCGCTGATCAACTTTGTCTGCTCCGGGCTGGATGAGGAATGCTTTGCTGGAAAAGCGGGTCGGGTGGAAGTGAAGGAGTGGGCTTGAGATGTCGCAGGGTCGGCAATCGGGACGCCGCGGTTAGGGCATGATCGGATGGGTGCGGTCGCGGGTTGCTGGGTCCGCGCGGATTTAAGCTCGAAAGTGCCATCGCCATACGACAAGATACGCTCGTTAAAATTCTCTTGTCTCTACTTGCTATATGATTCATCCTAGCTATAGAGAATCATCGTAGTCGGATACCTCATCAAAACACTTCGCCATACTGTTGAGATGTAAAATGGATGTATATTCTAATCCATAGCGCGAGGTGGCCGCAAAAAGGGGATAGAAAGAGAAGATTTGTGGGATCGATGTGCTAAGTAGACCGGCAATCATCACTTTGCAGTGCTATGTAGGACGAGGAAGACTTAGACTTTTGTGGCACACATCATCACTAGCAGGGTTGAAGTGGTTGTCCCACTTCAAACTAACCTCACATGTATGAATATGATTCCTTAATTCGACTATAGATATTGTACTGCAAGTGACTCAGAAGTGCTTGATAGTAAACTTAAGCAATAGAAGCCTTCTGCACATCCTGGCCACTCGAGTTGATATTACATCTCTTATCCCAGAAGACGTGGACTACGCGACGTGGATTACACTATAAACAACCACAAAAAAACCCCCAAAACAGATTGTCCATGGTTGAAACCCGCGGGCACCGGCTGTTGGTTTGTTGGGAGCAAGATTGGCTTTGCGATTAGCGTAAATATTAGCGTACTCGCGATCGCGATCGAGAAGCAGGCATCCTTTCCTGCTGACATGAAGTGGATTTCCTGGAATATGGTCTTGAATCCAGTTCAACAACCGATTGCTGCGATGGCAGCTCCATTTCTAGTCACTGCTTTTAGCCCGCAGTTTTCAACTATCTGTGGGTGTTTTGAAACCGACCCTTGAACCCCTGATTTAATTTGATCTTAATTTAGTCAACCAGCGGCTTCGTATTGCCGACGGAGAGTCTTAGATCAGAATTCGCGTGTTCTGGGCGGGATGCAAGACTTGTGGAGAAAAGCACTTGCCGCCGTATTGTAAAAGTATGAGCAAATGATAGCTCGGGCAGCTCTCACCCAAAGTATACGGTTGCTCCGAATGGCCACTGTACCCCAACGTAGAACGGAGATACGCGATGCCGGGTTCTTCCAGAGTGGTCCTCCCACAATTTGCAATCTCGATATCTCGGATAAGTGAATCATTCCGATCATCTCCCGATGATTCATACCCATACGTGTGAGTTTACCATCCAAGGTAAGATCTAGACTGCGATACTAAGGTTTTTAAAGCTCACGTACAGCGTTCTGCCACCCCACAAGGACAATCTCAGAATTTAGAGTAGAGCCAATTGCGAAAGTCTGGTTTTGATACAGAAGCCACTCCTGGACGCACAACAGGGAAGACAGCCAGTACCCCGGGATAGATGACATATTGACATTGACCTAGGGTATGGGAAAGGGCATTAGCGCGCTAGAGGACATATGGCGGGTCATCAATATTCCCGGCCTCCCTGCCCCCGCGCATTCCTCTCCAACCTCTGATTCGCTTCAATCCATTAAGCCTCTCCGGGGTGTCCTTCTTCTTTTTTTCTTCCTTTTAACCTCCATATGTACATACATGAATCAATACTCGTTTTCCGTTGAGGGACCGACCTCGACCCAAGGGCAATGGCAGGATTTACCGGACCGAAGCCTATGCGACGAACTCGCGGTGCTCTTCGGTCTGCTTATCCTCCACCTGAAGCTGTCCACTGTTGCCTCCGGCTAGTGCAAGCTCTGCATGATGCTTGCGAAGCTTCCTTGCTGCCCGGACGGGGTGCAGAATGTTGCGGCTGTCGAGGAAGATGTTGTCGATGGCCTCGAGATGAAGGCCCTCCGTCTCGGGGAAGAGAAAGTAGACCACTATCATCCGATTTAGCCTCGCTTTGAAAATGACACTAGCAGTACCGAAGACGATGCGCTCAAGGGGGCGTGCGGGATAATGAGCCATAACAAAATCAACGAAGAGTGGGACGTACTCGGCACAAGAAGGACAAGGTTAATCGCCGCATAGACCAGAAAGTACTTCCAACCCAGAGAGCTGAAGCCACTTGGGGTAACCTCGACGACGAGGAAGTTGAACGTCCACGAGGAGGCGGTCGACATGCCGGTGATCTGGGTTCGGACGGCAAGAGGCGCGATCTCTGAACAGTAGAGGTAAGTCAACCCGATGCATCCGGTGACATAGAAGAACACGTAGATGAAGATGAAAACCACGGCGGTGTCCATGGCTGCCTTGTTGCTACTGTTCTGAGACATACAGCCCGCCATAACCGCCATGCAGATGCCCATTCCTACGAAGGAGAGGATCAGCAGCTTCCGTCGGCCGGCTTTGTCGACGGTGAGGGCGCCGAAGGGGCTGATTAGGATTTTCCTTTGTGTGTGGAGAATCGTTAGCTTTTATTTGAGGTTTCCAAGAGCTTCTTCTTGTCGTTTTCGGTGATGATACATACCAGGTAAACAGCACGGCTGACATGAGCAGCGCTAGCTTGGAATCCATGCCGAGAAATTCCTTGAAGATGGTACTTTGATAGAAAGTGATGGCGTTCTGCCCGCACATTTGCTGCGCCATTTGCGTGGCAATGGCAATGAAAGCCCGATTACCGAAGCGTGACGGCCCGTTTCGAAAGATGTCCTGAAAAGAGCCCTGGCCAGTTTCTTGCAGGGATGACTCGATCTCCTCCACTTGGTGGACCACTGCATCACTCGTGGGAGACTCGTCGAGAAGGATGGCTAGCACTTCGCGGGCCTCGTCGATCCGACCTACTTTGATGAGCCATCTTGGCTATCACCTATTGTTAGCTGGTATCTTTAGGGGTTGACAGCTAAGCATAGGCTTACCGATTCTGGCCAAAAGGGGGTGAATATTAGAGATATCAGACAGAGGAGGCACGGAAGAGCGAGCGGCAGGCGCCAGACGACGGAGCCCTCAGCGAAGGCGAGGCCATATTCTAGCCAACCCGCCACGGCCAGACCGATGGCCAGGAACCCGCTTTGAAGCATCACAATAAAGCCTCGAAGCTTGAGGGTAGTGGTCTCGCTTTGCCTATTTCTCGCACCCAACATTCTCTCTTCAGCGAACTGGTCGACAAACAAGGGATTTACGACATAAATGGGGTTCCTACCAATTCGGCCCTGTAGCTGTCACCGCGCCGAATCCCAGCCCGGTGATGAACCGCCCGACAATCAGGTGTGCCAGCACAAAGGCCGTACTCTGAAGAATCGAGCCAACAATCGTGATCGCCAACCCCAGCATGAAGGTTCGTTTCCTGCCCAGGCGATCACCGACCCCGATACAGGCGATGGCACTGAAAAGACACCCCAGGTTGAAGAGAGCCACCACCGTGCCCTCGATCCTGGAGTTCTCGGCGTTCGTGGCTCCAGTGGTGTTCACCGTGTCGAGCTGGGGGAAGGTATCCACCCATGACTGTCGGTTGACGATGCCGCTGGACACCGCGTTCAGGTACCCGAAGCAGATGTAGGCGGGTATGATGACCGTCGCGATGTGACCTATGGTCACTTTGTTCCCCCTTAGCCCGAATGCCTGGCCCATTCTGCTGGGTTTAGGTTGGAGATTGGGGACTAGAAGGTGCGGATATGGATTCACGATCAGGGTGGTTGGGAGGTCTTGGTAGGGGTAGGAAAGTCTTGTTCAGGGGTCAAAAACAGCAAGAAGAGATATCTTTCTATATTCAAGCATAACCATGAAGAAAAACAACTATCAGTTCAGAAAGGAGATATGGGGGGAAAGCCTGGGGTCAGACATCACTCCCCCCGGGGGTGGAGAGTGCCGTCACGTTCAGCATGGAGAAAGGCATATTTGATCCACTTTTGTCTCACCCCGCGCCTCATCCAATGCCCTTGGGACATCTGTATGCGGGCGTATTTGTGGAGTTGTATTACTCTTTGAGTTGGACCCAGAAACCAGGGTGCGCGGAAACTTTCGATCCCGGGGGACTCGGTTCGGTGTACAAGCTGATCTGGGCAAAGCTTAACTCCAGCTTCAGGAGGTGGGCTAGAATCTTATAGGTAACGCCAAATAACTGAGAAATACTCATCCAAGGACTGAATGGGCGTACGAATAATGAGTCTATTTGGCAACAAGAATGGTACGCTCATACAATACCAACGGCGTAGGAAAAATGTGGTCGAGGCTATGTCGTCATGTCAATGGGGATCAGCTTCCAAGTTTGGCTAAACGAAGGGTGTTAGCCAACAGAATAACCGGCTTCATGGCGCCGAGTGTCGCTCGCTTGTAAGCTAGGCTGGAGTCATGGTGTGGACTGTGATAATAATCATCATTCACTTCCACCTCCGCTGGCAAAGCGGGTGGATTAGGGCTCTTTTCCGCCTCCGACGGCGGAAAAGCCTCGATAGGTGGCTCCAGTTCTCCGCCGCCGCCATCTCGCTAGAAAGATTCCACCAGTGTCTTTTGGCTTCTCCGACTGAGATAGTGACATATGTAAGAGCAAGGTTGGGTACAGCACTTCCTGTAGAAAGACGCACAGCACACTACGGAGGAGATGAAACACGTTCGGCTCTTTTCTCTTACACATTGCACCGCGAATACACACTCTTGTCCGGATGACTGACTTTAGATACGCATCAAGATTGCCCTACTCTGGACAGTTTTGTGAATGAATCAACTCTGATCCAAACGCTACATGGATGGAGATTCGAATGCGGGGGCTACTCATCTTGTTACTCTTGGTAGAGGGCCCGGGTCCTGGGAGCCTTGCTCAGCGGTGTCAGAATTACCAAAACATTCTGGAATCTCTAGTACTTTTTCCATTATGTTTTCTGCTGATTTCCTCACAGCCCTTGTAAATCACAAGTTCCAATCTATCTGTTACTGTGTGTGGTTCTTTTATAAGTGCTAATTGATAATGTTCTATCTAGTGTATGGATAACGATCCCCGGATCATATCTAAAGAACAAGCAGCGTAAAGATAGCGAAGGTTATGAATCGAGCATCGTGGTAAAGTTTTCTGATGATGTTCCAGAATACTATTGTATCAGGGTTCCATATTAGGCAATAAACTAGAATATTCTTTTGCATCGCAGTAATTAAAGTTTATATTAATTTTAAACTTGCTATATACGCAGCTGGAATAGCTATGAGCAGCATACTTCAGACTAGTCTAATCACGCTGAGGAAGAACCCTTTGACGTGATTATTACCCTTCAGAACCGGCAGCCCGATCTCGGGTAGAGGACCCGCTGCGGAGGATTCTGGGGGGGATACATTGTCTGAAAAGGTAGCTCTATCGTTGCCCGCCACTGTGGTACATCGATTCACAGTATAATAATAGTCTTCTATGCGGTGTTTGCATTTGACAGTGGGCCTTGCCACGCCTCCCTCTCCAAAATGTGAGCCCCGTGGTTCTCCAACACTTAGAGATCTCCAAATCCCCAAAAGAATGTTCTTCGAACCTTCTTGTGGATACAACGTGGTTACGTCCTCGAGTAAATTGGTTGGCATCATGAGGAGACCCACCCAAAGTTCTAGGCGCAATGTTGACTGTTTGAGTCTTCATACCTTGAATAGATGATGCAGTGACTTAAAGGGAATTTTGCTCTCCTCCCTTACACGAAAGCCACCAGCACATAAGTGTGCGCTTGGCCTCCACGATACTACCAGGAAGCAGTTACCCCATCCCATCCAGTAGTCCACTTCTGCAGGCTACAGAGTTTTCCCCGCTACGAGACCGCAGCAGGATTCTCACCAAGCTAATTGCGATGGCGCTTGCCGTTGTGCTGGCCGCTGCTGTCCCTACCGCTTCTAGAGCCATCAACAACACACAAAAGATCTTCCAGTATGGCGAGAACGGCACCTGGCTGGAGATTATTGCAGTCCGCAGTCCGCAAGAACGGCATGGTTCTGACCACTCGTCTCGACGTCCCTCAACCCTTGGAGGTCACCCCATCGGGGCACGCAATGCCTCGGTTATCTACACTTTCCCCGGCGTGCGTAGTCTGCTCGGAATCGCCGAAATCGAGACGAATGTTTTTGCGGTTGTTGCCGGAGACTGCTCAATTCAATTCTTTCCACCCCCGGCACCTATGCCCTCTGGAGGGTCGATCTCGCCTCCTCCGAGCCCAATGTCTCCGTCATCGCCAAGGTCGTCGAGGCCGACTTCTTCAACGGCTTGGCTCTCTTGGACCGGGACACTTTGCTCTCCACTGACTCTGCCTGGGGTGTCGTCTACCGGGTCAAGATCTCCACTGGCAATTACTCGGTTGTGCTGTCGGATCCCGTCACTATGCTGTCGCCTAAGGATAGCCCTAAGCCTGTCGGAGTCAATGGTCTCAAGGTGCACGGCAAGTACGTATACTACAGCAGCACCACCGAAATGGTCCTTGCCCGGGTGCCGTTCAACAAGGACGCCCAGCCTCCCGGCCCCATCGAGATCGTCACCGGCGGCTTCACGCCCGATGACTTACTTCTGACCAAGAATGGCACGGCGTACGTCACCACCAGCGCGGAGAACGGGCTGTTGAAGGTCGAGCCATCTGGCCGCGTGACTGCGGTCGCCGGAGCTTTGTTCTCCACCACTCTTGCAGCAATACCTACCACCATCACACATGTTATACAAGAACAATCATTATCGAGTGGATAAGCGATAGATTCTGCTACGCAGTCGGTCATTCTAGGCTTCGTGACTTCACTTTTTACATATTCAAATTATCTATTCTTTATATATATACTCTTCTATACACACCGTCACAGTTACACAATCAATTCAGTTGCTGTAGACTCGCTGTGGCTACCAGTAATACATGCAAGCAATCTGAATAGCACGATGTGAGTGAGATCTGAGCGCCCTAGTTATAAACCCATGTGAGCACATCATAATCCTCCGTTGTTCACTGGCCAAAGATGCAGAGACATGGTGGTGCCTGATGCCATAACACACGGCCGCGCTGGGTGATTTGGGTCTGACTAGCGGGGGTGTATCTTACACTTACCTTGAGTTCAAGAACTATGATAGGTGGCTACAATATACACTAGCAGGCATGATCAGAGGGTTAATCCTTGGAGAAAATAGATATGTACTCCTGACAATCGAAATGAACGCCAAGCCAGAGCTAGGGCTTTAGATCCGATAGAGTGAGTCTCGGAGACCGACGGATATTCTCTTTAGGGTAAATGGCGAGATAGAGAAGCTGAAAGGAAGCATTCTCGTTTCCCGCCTGTAATTCCCGTAATGGGGATAACTCATTCTCCGGCTCTACCATACCGATCTATCAAACTCTCATTCAGGTGGGCAGGGTAAGTGTTGCCGATCAGGCACCCAGCAAATAGGCTGCTGTTCTTCCAGTGGCGTGATCTCTCCGGACCTTACGATTTTATTGTGTGACTCTGATGCTTCTAGTTGGTAAGACTCCGATTACTTGGCTATACGAGTAAGCGGACTACTACTTCGATTGTCTAAGGAGTACTATCCACAAACTCTACCTGATGTGTATACTTATACTTGTACATGTGTGTGTACAGGAGGTGGGTCCTCGGCCCGCATTCCGTTTCGGCGAGCCTCCAGCTCCACTCGTAGACCGTTCTTGTCCGGTTCGCCATGTAGCTCCGTTGTCTTTATGTTGAAAGTAGATCCTCCTTCTATATTTGGGCATATCTGTCTTGCACCGTGGACGGCTTGAGGTACTAGTTTCGCGGCTGACAGTCTTGGTTCTACCCCCCTCCGGTAAGTGTAAGATAAGCAATTTCCAATCCCTGCATCAAGCCTGACTGGTGATTGGGCCTTGTAGCCCAGAATCGCGTGTGCGCTAATGATTGCACTTATAACGCAACTTCGCCGTCCTTTCTTGCCTTTCCCAATCTCAAATCTTTCTTCCCTCCTCCTCCTCCTCCAGAGTTTAGAAACGAAACTTGGAGAAGTGGTAATCGCAGTTCCAACAATGCCCTTCGCCAACGGGGAGGGCAACATGCTCCACCTCAACCAAAAAGATTTTGACTTCAACCTGCAATTTGAGAGTCTCTTTTTCTCGATTATTCCCTCCGTCTTGTTTATCTCATCATCGCTATGGCGTGCTCTTGCACGGATGCGCAAGCCCGTGGTGGTGAATGCGCCCGTCTTGCAGTCCATAAAAACTGTATGCCTTCTACAATGCACCGTAGACGGTTTGTACGTACTGACTGCTTAGGGTGCCATCGTAATTTATTCTGGCTTGGAACTTGCGCTCCTTATACTCGCCGCGGTCGGCTCCTTTCACATTAGCCGCATGTTTATTGCTTCCTCCGTCCTGCAGCTGCTATCGGCACTTTTCATGCTGACGGTGAGTGTGGTGGACCACAGCCGCAGCCCTAGACCCTCGATGCTGCTTAACAGCTACTTGCTTCTCACCCTTCTTCTCGATATCGCTCGAGCAAGAACTCTGTACCTGTCGTCAGACCGCGGTTCCGACATCACCTACAGCATTATTTTCTGTGCATCGGTCGGGCTGAAGACCGCCATCTTGATACTGGAGGCCTGCCAGAAGGGGAGATGGGTGAGCTGGGACGCAACGAAACACAGCCCCGAGGAGACAAGTGGGATATTCTCGCTAGGAGTCTTCTTCTGGTTGAACAAGCTCTTTTGGGCTGCATATAGACACACCTTTACCATCGAAAGCCTGTACCCCCTCGACAGCACCTTCAATGCACAGGCCCTGCATGGGGATTTCGCGAAGAAAATGGACTACGCCAAGCTGAAGGGTGATAAGTTCGGCCTTCTGAAGGTGCTTCTCCGTACATTGTGGGTGCCATTACTTCTGCCTATTCCTCCAAGGGCGGCTTTGATTGTCTTCCATATGTGCCAACCTCTATTCATCGAGAGTCTCATCACGTATCTCTCTCATTCGGAACCAGATCCAAATGTGGGATATGGGTTAATCGGCGCAGCCGTACTCGTCTACTCGGGAATTGCGGTCTCGTATGCCTTGTACTGGTACTGCCATCACCGACTACGGACGATGGTCCGCTCCATCCTAGTCACTGAGATGTTCCATGCCGCGACGAGAGCCCGGCTTGGGTCAAGCGATGATAACGCTGCGCTGACACTCATGAGCACCGACATGGAGCGCATCCGAATGGGTCTCCGCTTCGTACACGAGACATGGGCGAGCCTGATCCAGGCCGGTCTCGCCACCTGGATGCTCTATCGGCAACTCGGGGTCGTGTTCATCGCCCCCGTAGGCGTGGTGGTAGTCTGCTTCGTGGGCTTAGGGGTCCTGATCAACTTCACCGGTGACTCGCAGCGATCCTGGATGTCCGGGGTTCAGAAACGGGTCGGGCTCACAGCCACCGTCATCGCTAGCATAAAGGCGCTCAAAATATCCGGTCTCACGGGTCCCGTGGCGGAGTACGTGCAGCAGCTGCGGGTCGATGAGCTCGCGGCTGGCGCTCGATACCGCCGGATCATGATCATCGCCGCCATTTTTGCATTCATGCCGCAGTTGATCAGCCCTCCACTGACCTTCGCTTTTGCCCGGGCCACACTGAATGCTTCAACCATGTTTACCAGTCTTTCATTCCTGACCATGTTGACTCAGCCGCTGTCGCAGCTGTTCCAGTCGATCCCTGAGCTCGTCTCAGGCCTAGCGTGCTTGGGTCGGATTCAGACATTCTTGGAATTGGAGCCTCGTAACGACTACCGACAGCCCCTGGTCGAAGCCCGGAGTGGCGGCATGGAGAATGGTTCGGATTGTGTCGTCGTCCGAGGCGCGAGCTTTGGATGGAAAGCAGACATGTTTGTCCTGAACAGCATCAACACTCAAATCCCCGCCTCGGCCCTGACGATGGTCGTCGGCCCCGTCGGCTCAGGCAAATCTACATTCTGCAAGGCCCTTCTAGGAGAAATGCCCTTTAGCCAAGGCAGCGTCTTGATGGGCGATTCCCCCCGTCACGTCGGTTTCTGCGAACAAACGGCCTTTCTCTGGAACGGTACGATCCGAGAGAACATCGTCGGATTCACCCCTTTTGACCGCGAGCGTTATGACCAGGTCATTGAAGTCACCTGCCTGCGCTTCGACCTCGCTACCTTACCTCAGGGAGATCAGACGAATATTGGGTCAGATGGTGTAGCATTGTCGGGCGGGCAGAAGCAGCGTTTGTCTCTTGCGCGAGCACTATACCTACGTTCCGACCTTTTGATCCTGGACGATCTGTTCAGCGGGTTGGACGCTGATACTGAGGAGCAAGTCTTCCGGCAGGTCTTTGGACCGGATGGGCTACTGCGACGACGGGGGTCGACGGTGGTTCTGTGCACCCATAGTGTCCGGCATCTCCCGGCCGCGGACTACATTATTGCGCTCGAGAATGGCGGTGTTGCAGAGCAGGGTACCTTTAGCGCTTTGTCGAGCCGTGCGGGTTATGTTCAGCGTCTGGAGGTGGGACTCAAGCAGGATAGCGAGGATACTACTGCTGCTGACGATGAGTCTGGTCCTGGTCCTTATCCCGAGCAGGAGGGCCAACCTGGGGCTGACAAGGTAGTCGAATCTGAGACCACTTTCAACAGCACGCAGTTATCTACCCCTGTTGCACCAGCGGTGGCCACAGCGAGGCATGTCGGTGACGCCACCGTCTATAAGCTGTATATCAAAAGCATGGGATGGTTTGTCGCGGCTTGTAGTCTGTTCTTTGCGGCCCTCTGGGGTCTTTTCACCAATTATGCAACGATCTGTCCGTTTCCGTCACTCCGATCTTTGCTTTGCTTATCAACTAATCTGATGATTGCAGGGCTTACATACTGGAGTGACGCCACCGAGTCCATCCATCCTGCGCACTCCAATCACTACTACGCGGGGATCTATGCCGTCCTGCAAATATGCGCCATCATCGCCGCCCTCCTCCTGGGTATAACGCTCTTCATCGTCTCTGTGAAGAAAGCCGGCGCCAATCTCCACCAGCAAGCCTTGCGCACCCTGATTCATGCACCACTCTCCTTCTTCACGAATACCGATACTGGAGTGGTCACAAACCTCTTCTCCCAGGATCTCAACCTCATCGACACCGAGCTCCCCGAGGCGACCCTCAACACCCTCTTTTGCGTCTTCCAGTCGATTGGCCAAGCCGCAGTGATGCTTACCTCGTCCGTCTACCTAGCTATCAGCTACCCGATCCTAGGCGCCTTGCTCTACTTCGTGCAGAAATACTACCTCCGCACGTCGCGGCAGCTGCGCTTGCTCGACCTGGAGGCCAAGAGTCCGCTGTACACACATTTCCTCGACGCGCTCAAGGGGATCTCCACGCTGCGTGCCCTCGGGTTCCTCCCGGAAGACATTCAGAAGAACGCCCGGCTGGTGGACTCGAGCCAGCGCGCGGCGTATCTCCTCCTCATGATCCAGGAGTGGTTGAACCTGGTTCTTAATCTCGTTGTGATGGTCATCGCGGCGGTGTTAACGACGCTGGCCGTGCGGCTGCATTCCAACTCGGCCTTCGCTGGTGCATCGCTGTACTCGCTGATGAGCTTCGGTGAAAGCCTTTCTGGGATCGTCATTTACTACACCAGGCTGGAGACCTCCATCGGCGCGATTGCGAGGCTGAAGACTTTCAACGAGACCGTCAAGCCGGAGGACCGCGACGGTGCTGGACAGGAGGACATCGTCCCTGACACGAACTGGCCGGATCGCGGGCTGGTCGAGTTGCGCGGTGTATCCGCCAGATATCAGTCCACGACCTTGTCTGAATCTGATCCTGAGTCCACCGAGCCGCCCCTAGCTCTAGCCCTCAAGGATATCACTCTCACCATCCACCCGGGGGAGAAAATCGCCATCTGCGGCCGCACCGGCAGCGGCAAATCCAGCTTCCTCGCTCTTCTGCTAAAACTTCTTGAGCCGCTGTCCCCCTCCTTAAACACAAACGGCAACGATCAGGACCACCAGGAGGAACCTCTGGTAATAATTGACAACATCCCGCTGCACCGCATCCACCGCGCAACCCTGCGCCAACGCCTCATCGCCGTCCCCCAAGACCCCGTCTTCCTACCGGACGGCTCATCCTTCCGCGCGAACCTCGACCCAACCAACGCCGCCACCCCAGCAGAATGCCAGCAAGTCCTCGAAGCAGTCCGACTGTGGGACTTTGTCCAAGAACATACAGAAAAAGGCCTGTACGCGGGGACCATGAGCGCCGGACAGAGACAGCTCTTCTCGCTGGGGCGGGCGGTGCTTCGTGCTAGACTCCGACAGCATTTGACGCCTTCTTCCTACCCTGATGAGGGATGCACCAACGAAGAACAGGGTGGCATCCTTCTCCTCGACGAAGTCAGCTCCAGCGTGGACCGGCAAACCGAGCGGTTGATGCAGGAGATCATCCGGACGGAGTTCCGGGCGTACACGGTCATCGCGGTGAGTCATCGGCTGGACATGATTATGGATTTTGATCGGGTGGTGGTTATGGATCGGGGGGAGGTGGTGGAGGTCGGGGATCCCGTAGCCCTAAAGGAGAGGGGGATTGAATCGAGGTTTGGCGAGTTGGTGATTGCTGCTGGTGCGTAGTAAGCTTCATCATATCTGATTGGTAGTCCTTGTCCCGGGAAGCATTCGTAACTCTGGATCGGATGGATTATACGATGTGAGATAGCTTGTTGGCCATAGCTCCACAGACATTGATTAGGAGTGAATATACCAGGTCAATCTAGGTAGGCATGCCACTATCCTAAGTCCGGTAAAATCCGCCGATCGGCCTTACGGCAGGATTCTGTTGGTCTTTAGTGATGTGTACAATACGGTACAGTACAGTATCCATCGCAGCTATCCCTCTTCACTGGTTGTGCTTGTACACAACTGTAGTATTGTATCTCCGTACTATACCAGACTATACCGATCTCGGGTCGGTGGGGAACGGATCAATTATCCGGGGGCGAATCCACCGATCACATCCCTTCCTTGATCCTGTACTCCTCCTGGTTGATCTTGACTGTGCCACCTCATCTCCGTCCCCACACATTATCATCATCCGTGTCCCTCGTTTTGTCCACCATCTTCCATAGCTACCCGGAGTCCTTTTGCAATGAGTCTCAGACCCCTTGCCCCTGCTCCACGGCCGTCTGCCGCTCACAATCCCTCGAATCCGAATCCGAATCCGAATTCTCCGTCCGAATCACCAGTCTCGGTACCGAAACTTCGAAAGGCATCCGCAGCATGCACTCACTGCAAGCGCCAGAAGGCCAGGGTACCATGCTTCCACGCTTCCACGCTCTTCAATTCTCTTTCACCGGACCCCCCCCTTCATGCTGACGGATCCATAATAGTGCCAAATAGCCGACGGAGCCACGGCCTGCGAACGGTGCACGAAGCGGGAACTCTCCTGCGTGTTCGAACTGGACGATGATATGCGGCGGAAGCTGGCCCACAAACGGAAGATCGCGAAACTCGAAGAGGAGCGGGATGTCTTGCTTCAGCTGGTGCAGACGCTGCAGGACAGCCCGGACGCCAAGGCCACCCAGCTGCTGAATCTCATCCGCAGCAAGGCGCCCCTCGACGAGATCATGCTCTACATGGACCACAACGTGTCGGAGCGGGACCGAGAGACGAGCCCGCTGCTGGCGGAGATCTACGAGCGAACCCACGGGTCGAAGGAGGACAATAAACGGACCGCCTCCCATCCGGCACTCAGCATTCAGCGCTTGATCGACATCCCGGTCTACCGGGTGCCTGCCGCGCCTTGGACCACGGTCACGAAAGATGACGAGCTAGTGTCCCATCTGATCTCGCTGTGGCTGACCTGGAGTCATCCGTTCTACAACTGGATCGATAAAGAGCTCTTTCTCCGTGACGCGCAAGCGGGCAAGCTGGACTCGAAGTTCTGCTCCCCATTCCTGGTGAATTGTATTCTGGCCGAAGCATGCGTACGATGATTCATGGTTTTCCTTCTTTTGACTTGGTTTTTGGTGGACTAATGACTCGTGGAAACAGTTTCACTCGGACTACCCGGACGCGTATGCAGACCCCAACGACCCAGACTCCAAGGGCGTTCATTTCTACAAAGAGGCGCGACGGCTCTATGAGGAGATCGAAGGTCGACTTGATCTACCAACCATGCAGGGGTGCGGCTTGTTGTTTGTCTGGTGAGTATGATCCCTATGATGTGTAGAAAACGGTGTACTAAGAGCTTGATCCCATAGCATGGCGGCGATGGGCAAAGACCGTGTGGGGTGGTTGTATCTCGGCCACCTGCGCAGTATGGCAGATGAATATACCAAGAAACACCCCCCGCCGGCCGCCGGGGTGACTCCATCCAGGGAAAGCCGGGCGATTGATAATACCATCTGGGGGATCTACAACCTTACCGCGTACGTTCACTCTCCAAACATGATTTCTCGTGACCGGTCACAACTGACATTCGTCCCAGGACCGCTTCGATCTCGCTAATGAAGCATTTGGCGATCGACCGGCCGAATCGACCCCTGCTTCCATGCGACCATCCCGCCGACGACACCTGGACGCCGTACCCGCGCCAAATGGATCCGGTTCAATCCCACATCCCCTGCGTGCTGAACAGCTTCTGCGCGCTGAGCGAGATCAACGTCGATGCCAACCGCAAGGTCTTTGCGAGTGGGCACAAGCCCCCTCGGGACGAGCTGGAACAGACGCTGCAAGACGTGCAGACCCGACTCGATGACTGGAAGAGCAAACTACCTCCATGCCTGGCCCGAGAGAACCCGAGCGTCCCGCAATCGCTAAGCTTACAGTAAGCGGCCCCTCCCTCTTTCATTATCCCCCACCACAAACCAACACCCCCCCACCACAAAACCACCACTAACCCACCTTTTCCCCGGGGATACAGCATGCTCTACCACACCGTCGTAATCATGCTCTGGGGTCTCCTGAAAAAAGAAGACCCGAACCCGGACAGCACAATCTCCCGGGAGACGGCGCGCGGCACCTGCGTGGCCGCCGCGCTGGCGATCGTCGACCTGCTGCGCACGCACCGCGCCACCTGGGGGCCGGACTACATCTCGCCGACGACGATCCACTGGGTCAGCATGGCGCTGTTCACGCTGGTCGAGGAGCTGGACCACGGCGCCGACCACCGCACGGCCTTCACGGAGCTGTGCGTCATCGCCCGCACCTTCGCCCGCAAGTGGACCCTCATGAAGGGCATCCTGCGCATGCTGCAGGTCTCGGCGCAGAAGGACGGCGTCGCGCTGCCGTCCGAGACCCACGCCCTTTTCGTCGACTTCTCCGAGAAGATGTGGGGCCCCGCCCAGCGCGAGCGGTTCCGTAGTCTGTATCCGAATCCGAGCTCGTTGGTGGAGACCGGTGGCGACCGCTCGAGGGAGGAGGCGGAGCTGGATAGCTTTTTGGAGAAGTGGGATACCCTTGAGATTCGGGAGGCTGGGGAGGGTGGGGAGGAGCGGCGGAGCTAGGTCGGTAGCTAGGACTTACGGCTACATGGAGGGAAAAGCGGTATTGGTAGCTCTCATCCTCTCTTCATGCTATATAGATCATGAATACGTCGCTGAGGTAATCCCCTGAACAGATTGGAGGGGTCATCATCAATACCTAAATCATTTGTCATTCTTGGACAGAAAGCACCGCTCTACCGAAGCTACTGCTACCCCCTCCCTCACAGCATCTCCTTCGGCCCTTTCTCCCGCACCGACACCTTCACCAAAAAGTCCAACGGCTTCACAAACCACTTGTTATCCGTGTCCCACGTGCGGTTGACGAGCTCGAAGTCGAAATCCCGGACCATCTGCGGGATCAGCTTCGACATCTCCAGGATGGAGATGTGCTTGCCGAGACACGTGCGCGAGCCCAGGCCGAACTAGCATTGCATCAGACATCAGTCATTATTCCGATCAGCTCGGTGAAAGGGGTGAAGGCTTACAGGCATATACATCTCATTCATCAGCTGTAAGCGCGCCGGATCCCCATTCTCCGCCTCGATCCACCGTTCGGGCCGGAAGCTCCGCGCATCGGGGAACACTCCCTCGTCGTAATGCGCGACCCAGGTGTTCACGCCCACGACACTGCCCTCGGGGAAACGGTACCCGCTGATCTCGGCCCCGCCGGCCGGCACCTCGCGCCACAGCGGCAGGCCCGTCGCGCTGTGCAGCCGGATCGCCTCCTTCATGACTGCCTGCAGGTACGGCATGGCCTGGCTTTCTTTGAAGGTCACGCGGGCGCTGCAGCGGCTTTGGGCCGTGAAGTCATCGATCTCCTGGCGTAGACGCGCCAGCGTGGCCGGGTTGCGTAGGAGGTGGTACAGAATGGCGGACAGGCTGATGGCGGTGGTGTCGGAGCCGGCGATGATGTTGGAGTTGCCCATCATGAAGAGGTGGTAGTCTGTGACTTTCTCGGGGTCTTTGTCGCGGGCCAGCGCCATCTTTTCGAGGAAGTCTTGCGTTTTGAGCGGGGTGGTGCTGGTGGTGGCTTCGTCTTTCTGTGGGTTGGTCTTGCGTTGCTCGTTGAGTTGTTGGATCTTTGCGGCGACATATCGCATCACAAAGGATCGGCCGGCCGGCCCAGTGGAGGTGAAGCGGCTGAGCGGTTCGTAGACACGGGGGTGCCATTCGGGGTAGATGCCGATCAGCGTGCTGTAGGCCATGACTTTCTGGAGGGCGCCGATTGCGCCTTCGATGTCTTCGCCTTTGTCGAGGAAGCCTTGTGGTTCTCTGGGTTAGTGGTTGTATGACTGGAAAGGATGGAGGGTGTACCGAAGCGCTGGCCGAAGGTGATATCACCGATGACATCAAAGGCGTAACATTGCAGCCAGTGGTGGAGGTCGACGGTTTGTCCGGTCCGCGCGAACTCGGTGAGCCGGTCGCGGAAGATGTCGGCGCATTGGTCGGCGAATTCTTCGTAGTGGAGCAGGGAGCTCATCGAGTAGAGGCTGGAGAATCGCTTGCGGGTTTCGGCTTGAAGGGGTGAACCGCTTTAGCAGAGATCTCCTTGAGCCATTTCACATTAGACCAGGTAGTACGTACCGTGTCTCTTGATGTTGCGATCCGGGAACAACGTCCACCGATCAGGCGACGGATGCTTCCAGCCCTCGTACCAGGCGGACTTGGGGAATCGGCTCCCCGTGCCATAGACCGTCTTCACGGCGGCCCGCTCGCTGATACTGTAGTGGCCCGGGGCGATCCGCACGACGGGGCCGTAGCGCGCATGGAGACTGAGGTTGTCGGCCTCGAAGTGGCCTTTCCAGACTCTGCTGAAGTACCAGAGTCGGGTGAACCGGGCGAGAAATGGGCCCGGGATGGAGGTCAGGGAGGGGCTTTTCCATGTGGTGTAGAGGAGTTGGAGGATGGTCTTGGTGAAGTAGATCAGGAGGGGAAGGCAAGCAAGAAGGAGGAGATTCATCGTGGCGTGGTTTCTGGGGGATCAAGTGAAGTGCGACGTTGACTGGGAAGCAATGTCATCTTATAAATAATTTGCGGTGTGGAGCCGGCACAGCAGCGAACATCAGCCCAACGATTAGTGCTGACACAGCTGATGCAGTCTAAAGTTTAGGGCGTGGCTCGACCCATCATAGGCCTTTGGATGGGCAAGATCAGCTCTAAGTTGTGTGTTGTCTCAAAAAAAGGGTCAAAGGGTTGAGGCGATGGTGATGATGGCAGGATGGAGAAGATGGAGGTGGGGAGCCGTAGAGTGCGGGGAAAGCCGCATTGTCCCAAGCTTATGTTCGAGCCTGCCCGCATAGCCTCCTTTTATGCTGCTGCTTCCTTCCGATCGTCGGCTCCACCCTGCCTATGAGTGGGTTATCCAGATCAATCCATGCACCGGGTTTATGCTTTACCAGCAGCATTCAGGTACTACTGCACTCTACTGTACTTGTCACAAAAGGTAATCAACTATCGAATCGAATTCAACCCATGACTCCGTACCCACTTTCAGTTTTATACATACATCGATAACGTCATTAGAAGCGCCACGCACATACCACTACCCAGGCAACAGAGAAAAGAAACACGCCAAGAGCCAAGAACAGAGGGGAGTCGTCGCCACCATGTTTAGAAAAGGCGAAGGATCCCGCACAAAGTCGGCCCTTAAGACCGACGATCACCCCAGAGGCCAACGATCCCCATCGCCAACGCTAGCCCCGAGAAGACCGCCCGCACCTGCTGCAGCCGCCGTTCCGTGTTCATCTCCGTCTGCACGCTCTCGCCGTTCTCCTCCGCCTCGACCACCACCAGATCCTCCTCCTTCTTCTGCTGCTTGGGAGCGGCCGCCTGCGTCCAGAACCCGGTGTCGTGCAGCACCGCCTGGAACCAGGCCTTGACGCCCGCCTGGCGGTGGAACCAGAAGTCCATGCCGTAGGTGCCGATGGTCGAGGCGACGCACATCCAGATCAGGTAGGGGTGTTTGCGGTGGCGCGGGGAGATGCTGTACGCGAACAGCAGGCACCCGTTGGCGATGTTGGTGAGCCGGATGCCGTGCTTGCGGTTCAGGCGTTTGATCTCGCTCAGCGAGCGCGAGCCGGTCGCCGAGGTCGGGAGTTGGGCCAGCGCGGGGATGGCGATCGTCGAGGCGGAGTACGAGATGCCCTGCGATGGTTGCGTCGTGTCAGTGCAGTCCTACAAGGCGGGGGGGGGGGTGCATGATGCGACAGCATTCGGGTATGGAGTGGAGGATAGCGTGGCGATCGCAGCAAACATACCGTGAGCAGGCCCAGAGAGACGGTTCCCACAAACTTGGAAACGGTAATGGGACACGCCATGTTGATGCTGGTGGGTGTCTATCTGTGCAGACAACAAAAGGCTGTGGAATGGTAAATGAACTGAATCGGATTGAGTTGGCGTGGTGATGAATTGCACCAGGCAGGGTGAAAAAGGAAAAAACAATGACGGAGTTGCCCGGACCTGCGAGAGTGAGTGACGTTGCGGGTCCGGCCTTGGCAGCCTGAGGCTTGTGAGTGCCTGATTAATGCCTGAAGGACGCACTCTCATTGGATGATCGGTAGCTCCACACAGCACTTCCTACCTATTATACAGCATAGCATTCGCAGTACTTGGTTCACAAGAAAAATACCTAGATAAGTGATCTGATATGAAGTATTCCCAGATGTGACTAAAGACCTGATCGCAGAAGGTTGCATTATAGAATGTTTCCAGAACAAAAAAAAAAGATAACTCAAGCACCCTCAATCTAAGATCGACCCATCAAGTCCGAACCGCTTCTCTGGACGTGATACCAATAGGATCGCCGAGGAACCATTGTGCAAAGGTCTTGAACCCAGCTATATTGAGGAATGTAAAGTCTTAGGGCTTAGTGCGGCGAATCAGCAGTTCCTGACCATCAAAGTATGCCTCCATGACACGCGGATGCCGTTGGTTGAGCGAAAAGAGCAGAACCTATTATCATATATCAGGCTTCTTTGGCAATCAGTATGCTAAGACCAGTCTAAACATACTGGTGCAACCATATCATTGACAAACACCTTCTGTTTTAGCTGGCCCAACATGATCCGAATGACAGTCAATACTTCCCCGCAGAGCAGATGATTATCATCTATATCGAGGTCGTTGTGCATGATACATTTCATATGCGGCTTGGAGGCCTTACCAACATGAAGTCTCGACAAGGTGCCATATTCAGGTTCCAACGTCCGGTACAGATTGCGAATATTGTAATCGCCGATCCTGGTGACACGGAATGGATGAGTGAACAGAGGCCCAAACATGGGGTACCTTGGTACTAGGGGCTTACTGTTTGCTTAACCACGTTCGATGGACCTCTGGAAAGTCGACAATTATCTCGCTCATGTATGATTTAAGAAAAAGGTAAATCAGTCGCCCGCGCTCACTAGACAGGGTCAGCTCGTCGGTGTTGTATTCTCTGTCGACAAATTCTGGCGTTGGCTCCGGCATGTCACTAGGGGCAAAAGAAGTGAAAAACTTTGGTGCGAGCGAGTCACCAGCATCAAGGCTTAGAGGTAAAGCCCGAGCCCTGCACCGTCTCAGCACACTTTGGTCGAAGGTATGTATATCCTGCTCTTCCAGGGCTTTGATATCCCTTTCGACAAGGAGGAGTGCTTTACGGAGATTGAAGCGGTCGCGGGGCTCGGCGATGGGCTCCATGACCGCGATCTATGAGATGGATATGATGCAACGATGAGAGTCACAGGAGTTCTGTAGCAGCGGCTGTCTAGTCTGGTTGATACACGTCAAGGACCTACAGTCTTAAATGCCCGAGATGCGCGGGTCTGCGAAAGTGACGTTGCGCTTGGCGGCCTGAGGCTACCATACGCCGCCTTGATGCCTGAACGCGGTACTCTAATGAGATGGTGAAAATTGTTCCTCTATATTAGTACTTCCTATGCGGCGCAGCATAGTATCTGAAGTACAGTACTACTATACGGCAGGTGGAGATAATGTCTAGGTAGGTAATGTCCAGATACTTGACCTCCCATACAAAGTCTCATTACGCTGGATCCTGCTAGGGTCGACCACTTGAGCGGATCGCTGCGCACGCATTGCGCACGCCAAGAAGTGGTCATTCCTTGACTATACAAAGGCAGATGATATTCTTGGTATCGACAGGACTCTCTCGCCAGTAGATCTGTGGTGCTGTGCTATACGTGCTTACCTTTCCGGTGTATGTCCTGCTAATCTTGATTTATCAGCAGTCTTGCCCGAGTTCCACTTTCAAACTATAAAAGCCGCAATATAAGCACCGAGTCTGCGCCAGTCGAGTTTGCTCTTCTTTCACAACCGTGTTCTCTAAGCTCCTGTATCTATCCAAATTCAAATTTCATGATGTCGTCTCTCCCTGAGACTTATCAAGCGTTCCGCCGAACAGAAGGCACTGCACCCTTGACAATCGAGCAGGTCACAGAAAAGCTTCCGCCCATTCAGTCGCACGATATCCTAGTTCGCATCCATGCAGTCTCGCTCAACTACCGCGACATCGCTATGCTGGACAACACTTATCCGCAACCCTGCCTTCCCCGCGGAATTCCCGCCTCGGATTGTGCTGCCGAGGTTGTATCCGTCGGATCCGCTGTCAGTGGCTTCAAGCCAGGCGACCGGGTTACCGCAATCTGGGACCTGACCAACGTGACCGGAACCGAGGAGCGGGCCCCAGAGGCTCTTGGTGGGGATGTTGATGGTGTGTTGCGACAGTATGCTGTGTTCAATGAACAAGTGCTTGTGCACTTGCCTGAGCACCTATCCTGGGAAGAGGTAGGTCACCGCAGATTGAGACTAAGGTCGAACATGTTTGTAATGTTGACATAGGCTTCTTGCATCACTTGTGCCGGAACCACAGCTTGGAACGCTCTTGAGTTCCCTAGAAACAGTGGCACAGCTCTGCTCCAAGGTAAGCAGCCCTTTCAATGGAAGGTTTGAAGATGCATAGGCTAGATACTGATTAAATGTCCAGGCACCGGTGGTGTGAGCATGTTCGCGCTTCTGCTCTGTATTGCAGCGGGCCTGCAGTCCATCATCACCTCATCTTCCGATGAGAAACTTGATCAGACTCGGTCGTTGAGCCCCAACGTCAAGACCATCAATTACAAGAAGGTAGACAAGTGGGAAGACGAAGTGCTCCGTCTTACCAACGGTCGCGGTGCTGATGTCGCTATTGAGAACGTGGGCCCTGCCACCGTGCGGCAGAGTCTTGCCTCTCTTGCCCAGCGGGGTACCTTATCCTTGGTGGGATTCCTTGGAGGACTCGAGGCGAAAGAATTTCCCGACCTGTATCTCCCCGTCATGGTCAAGCGAGTCACTATGAGGTTCGTTCCCCCTCCCTTAAATGTATGAGGATGGGTTCTGATGCAAATGCTTTTTTCAAGGGGTATCGTTGTGGGTTGCAAGATCGATCAACAGGCTTTGTGTGACTTTTTGGCGGAAAAGAAAGTATCCCTCAAGCCTTTGATTGACGCTGTCTTTCCATTTGATCAGTCCAAGGAGGCTTTTGCTCGCCTCAAGTCTGGAAAGCACCAGGGAAAAATTGTCATTACCCTCTAGGATGTGAGATGTAGCGAAATGTAGCGAAGGATCTTGTGAATGAGCTATTCCAGGGCGTTCCTTAGCATGAGTATCAGGTGGACCCTTTGAATCCAAGCGCAGATGTAGAGTGTATTGAGTCCACCCGTGACCTAGGCAGGGATGACCACTTTAGGCAATTGCCCCCTCTCACCGAGGACGGTTCCAACTCAAGGTTCCATGTTCAAGGTTCCATGCTTCCGTTCCGTTTCCGCTTCATCTCCACCATTCTCCCTCTGCCCACTGCTCAATAATCATCATCTACTTCATATCTACCATTCATAATCTTCCCTTTCTCTCGTGTCGGTAATGGAGGGTGTTGGTGGCCTCGAGATGCCTGCTGCGACCGCCCGATCGGAAATCATGTGCAGCGACAGGTACTAAGAGCTCAAGGTGATGTGCTGCTCTACATCAACATGCTGGCGCAATTACTCGGTGCTCTGGTCTGCATTCGTGATCAATACATTGAGTCAAGCCTAAGAAGACCGGCTGCCTCTGGACTGGTCCTAGTGACAGGCAGCACACGGCTTGTGCCACCACCCACAATCTAAACAATGACAACTTCGGCATCCTCCTCTGGATTACCGATGTCCCCTCTAGTGGCAGCGATTCGCAGCATCTCGGTCTTTAACAAAGGGAGTTATGCGGAGAGGGAAGGATGTACGATACATAGAGTGGTGAGAAGGTCATATTCTGCTTCTCGGACGTGTCTCTTGTACAGTACTTATATGACGCGACCGCTATTTCAAGATGGGATAATTCGGGGCTAGCCAAGCAGATGGTCGAGCAACGTTCAATACGGACCAGGTCCCAAAGAATACTGACTGGAGAGATCAGGTGTTTGGCCGCCGTTTGTTCCGGCTCCTTCCCAACATCAGTCAAACACCTTGCCAGGATTCATGAGAAAGCTAGTGGGGAAGATTGTCAGCTTTGCAGGCGTGCATCAGTTGGATATACATACTGAGGATCCAGGCTCCGCTTTAATGTCTTCATCACGGCAACTGTTTCCTGCCCAAGTTCTTCGAGTAAGCACTCCTTCTTCCCTAACCCAATACCATGTTCGCCCTTGAAGCCAATGGTCAGTGATCAGTAACGACAGCAATTGAAATCTCAAGAAGGACGAACCGAAACCGTTCCCTCCATCTGAACTGCTCTATGAACCATCTTCTTCACACAGTCTCGTACTGCCTCTGTCTGATAGGCACTGTTGGGATCATACATAACAGCCTGATGGAAGTTCCCATCGCCCACGTGGCCAAGAATACTAGAAAACAGCCCGAGCTTCTGCGATTCCTGCTTTGATAATTCTAGACACACGGCGGTCAGACTTGGAACCACCAAGACGGTAAAGGGGGAGTCTTACCAATGATCAACGGCAACTGAGACAACGGCACAGCGACATCAGTGGACCACAGCTGCATACCGTCTGGCTTCTGCGCACACATCGCCCATATGGCTTCCTTGCGAGCAGACCAAAGATTATGCATTTCTAGTTCTGTCTTTGCGAATTGAAAGGCACTTCCTCCCCCTTGGGAGACTATGTCCTCGACACGCCCAATGTCGGTGGCTATGGACTGTGCGGTTCCGGAAAACCTGTCGCACATTTGATCCGTCAACATTTTAGCCCAGATGGGTGGGAGGGCTTGAAATCAATAGCGAGCTCAACTCACTTGAAAAGCAGCGTCGGCTTCTCATCCCACATTCTACCCCCCGCACCTCCGTTCCGGTTCAGAACCTCCATCTGGGTCTCATCCATCAGTTCAACGGCGGCAATTGGGATTCGCTGCCGCATGATCCTCGATGTGCAAGTCACTGCGTCTGTTATCGAGGGGAACGTCGCCACGGCAACGCTTTGACGCTCTGGGATTGGAGCCAGTTTAAGTGTTACCTCAGTGATCATCCCTAGTGTCCCTTCGGAGCCGGTGAAGAGAGAGGAGAGATTGTAACCGGACGATGACTTTCTACTCTCGTGAGCACGCGGAACTCCGATTTGCATCTTTTTGCGGGCGATAGGCGACGTACCGTGGTCGGTGCCGGGTTTTGACGACGGTCCCATTAGCTAAGACCACCGTAAGGCTTATAACCCAATCCTTCATTGTGCCGTATCGAACTGCATTGGTTCCACTGTGGTAGAAGCTCAATACCGGCTCTGGCCAGTAATTCCAGGCTAAGTGAAAAAGACAGACCTGCAGTTCGTGGCTACCATGCCTCCAATAAGAGCCTTAAGATATGTTGGTGGTATACGCAACGCATGTGATGTTTCAAGCATACCGTGGGGCTTGGATCCATAGGCAGGAAGAGACCACTGTCCTTTATCTCATTGTTGAGGTCCATCCAATTGACTCCAGGCTGGACGACGACATCCATGCTACAACGCGTCAGCTAACATTCTAGGGAACGAGATAAAAAGGGCGAAAACTCACTCCTCTTCATGAAAGGCAATGATTTTGTTCATTTGAGAGAAGTCGATACTGATTCCAGAATGCGGAGCTGTGAAATTCCCCTCCACGCTGGACCCGCCGCCAAAGGGAACTATACTCAGTCTTTGTCAGCGCTGGTTGCTGTCTGTCTTAATGAACGGACTGTGCATATGCAGACTCACTCATCGGAATTCTATACTTTGAGCAGATATGTGTAATTGTCGACACCTCGTCTGTCGTCCTCGGCGTAACGACAGCCACTGGTCTTGTTGCGCAATGGGAGGTCGAAACCTCGGAGTATGTAGTTCGATGTCGTCTTCGTCTATCATTACCGAGTCCGGTCCGAGTGTGTCTGCGATCTCTTGTACACCCTAGGAGGCAAGAGATGAACGTGGTTAGCATTCAATGCAGAGACGGTATAGATTGAGCTGGCCCTCAACATAGTCTTTCTATCGGCATAGAAGATGGGCTGCTTGTCGCTTTGGCCAGCCGCCCAAGGAGAGAGTTGCCACGTGAAGCCTGCAAGGCCAGTCGCACCAGCCCCAACTATGACCCAAGGCCACGAAAAGGACAGGCTGTTTCGCGAGTTGGCGGTTTCTGGCCGGGCATGATGAAAATGGACTCTGCCGGCCCAACGTCTATTCGTCTGACTGCATTGGATTCCACTTCGAGCGAGGGTTCGATAAAATGAACGCATTGCTGTCTAGTTGTCTCTAATCAGTCATGATTTCATGAGCGAGATGTCTGCACTTCTCTTTATGTCGGTGTTCGGGCCCTGCCGACGACGCGGCGGCGGATATTCCCAATGAGGTATACCCGCTGTATCCGCCCCATACCACATGGCCTCTCCACAGATTTTGTCTCCACCGCAAAATCCTTAATCACCCTGAGGAGCCAGGGCACTATAAGTTGTGGGGTCTCGGGGTCGTTTGGAGCCATGTCCATCGAACAACAGCATGTCTATTAAAATCAACATGCCTTCTGATTCCAAGTCTGCCCAGCATATTGAGTTTCCCGACCCTTCGGTCAAATAAGGAGGGATGGAAAGTGATGCTGCCATGTCTACATCTCTCCCTGTCCTTGACGAGGAAACCAACAGGAAGCTGCTTCGAAAGATTGACACGCGTGAAATGCGTGTTGTGAGCGACTTCCCCCGAGGACAGCATGTTCAGCGTGTAAGACACACTGCCCCTTGTTCAGATGTGTACCACCTATGCACTCCAGTACTATGACAAAGCGCTCCTCAGCCAGGCAGCCATCTTCGGGCTAAGGAAGGATTTGGGTCTCGACGACGGTCTGAAGTATGCGTGGGTCTCGTTAATCTTCTACTTCGGATACATCGCTCGGTTGTTATCCGGTAAGTTGGATCTCCCCCTCCGTCCAGCCATCCCTCGACCCAAAACACAGAACCTGACGCGATGCCGTCGGGCAAGATAACATGGTTCTCCCAAAAATTCACCGTCGGCAAAGTGTGTCCCATCATCTGCTTCCTATGGGCCGTGGTCGTTCTCACCACGCCAGCCTGCACCAGCTACACCGGCATCCTCATCAACCAGTCCTTCCTCGGCCTAATCGAGAGCGGCGTCTCGCTGGCATTTATGCTTTGCACGGGAATGTGGTACACTCACTCCGAACAGGTCTTCCGCAGCTCCCTTTGGTACTCCTTCAGTGGTGGCTCAAACATCATCTCACCGCTGATTAACTACGGTCTGGGCCACATCACCGGTGGAGCACTTCACCCCTGGCAGTACATGTATCTGATCGGGGGACTCGCAACTCTGCTGTGGTCTATCGTCCTCTGGTTCGTCTTCCCCGGTACTCCACAGGTTGCGAAGGGTTTCACAGAGGCAGAAAAGATACTGGTGCTCGAACGCGTCCGGTCGAATAATGCCGGTGCCGAGAACCGCCAATTCAAATGGTACCAGGTAAAGGAGGCTCTATGTTCTTATCACTTTCTGGTTCATTTGCGTTCTTTCACTGCTCTCGAGTATTGGTAGTGGGGCGGTGACGACGTTCGGCTCGATCATCTTCAACGGAATGGGGTTTACAACATTTCAGTCCCTACTACTGAATATGCCGATTGGAGCGCTGGCCTTTGTTTGTATCCTTGGATCTGGTTATATCGGGAGGAAGGTTCCGGACTCGCGACTTTATGTCGTGAGTGGGGCCTGTGTTCCTGTCATTTTGGGGAGCTGCTTGATGTAAGTTAAGTTCTTTTTCTTTGTGTTTCTTGTTTGTGACTAACTCATACGACCTCGACATAGATGGAGACTTCCAACTTCGCAACGCGCGGCTCGTATCATCGGCTTCTACCTCATCAACTTCTTCTCCTCAGCCTGGGTGCAATGCATCGTGATGGGAACGTCGAATGTAGCCGGACACACGAAAAAGGCGACCATGGCTGCGGCGACATTCATTGGGTACTCATTGGGTAATATCATCGGGCCTTTGACTTTTGATGCGTAGGTCCTCCTCCGTGCGTAGATTCAAACGCAATCTGCCTCGAAACATCGAACTGATGCCCTTTGTGATTGGGGAGGGGGGAACGGACAGAAAGGATGCCCCTCGTTACGACCCAGGCTTCCAGGCAACGGTTATCTGCTTTGCAATCTGCTGCGTGCTCGCGCAGGTATTCCGGGCGCTCATGTATACGCAGAGTAAGAGGCGGGACGCCAAGTATGGTGCGCCGAGTGGGGAACACGGATTAGACGACCTGACAGATGGGGAGAATAAGTCTTTTCGGTATCCACTGTAGACGATAATTGTCGCAAGGTTAGGTGCAGGCAGTACGGATGCTGATCCTTGATACACCCGGTTGGGCAGTTACTCCAAGTCTACCAGAACAGGCGGGATGAGAACGGGAACGGCAACCCGATGAAGATATCACAGGCCACGAAAAAAAGCTGCCACAGCGGCGCTTTTCCACAAATTTCTCCACCTCGCGAAAGTAGTATGATTGTCCCAAGCTAGCGTAAGATCAAGCCTTCGACGACATTCACGTCACTCGAAAGGCGGCATGATCAAATCAGGCACGCCATCCAACCCGACCATGTCCGGTAACGTATTCCAAAAGCTCGCGTCGAAGATCCACTCTTCGCCCAGACCCAGTTCCGTGCCTTCCAAGAGCGTATTATGCGCGGCCGGGAGAGGACTGGGGTGGGCCGTGCGATCCCGATCCCGGTCTCGGTCTTGTGAAGTCCTTAGCGCCGCATGGACGATGATATCGAGAAGGGCGGCGTAGCGTTGAGACATGTGGACGTCATCCGGTGCGTTGTGCTTCATCGTCTCCACGACTCGTGTGATTAGGGAAACGGACGTGTTCGGGCGGTCCACGTGCTCGTTGTTCCGGAGTGTGACCTGGGATTCGGTTTAGTTTCAATGGGCCGAGGTTGACAAGATACGGGAGCTGTTGGCTTGCCTTGAGCAGATATAATGCCGCGCAGAAAATATAGAGCCAGTATCTCACCGGTGCGTACCGGAAGGGCCGTGAAGATGAGGAGAAGTGTACGATCAGCTCCAGCATGTCGACGGAAGCTTTCGTGGCTTCGTCCGCGAACTGAGACAGGGACCGTAAATAGGCGTTCCGGGGGTGGATCCGGGGAGAGCTTTCGAAGGTCTGCGAGGCCGGACTCAACCCACACAGGCGGATGTAGTAGTATTCGATGTAGAGACAAACGTCGCCAAGGGACAGATATGGTTGTTGATGCGTAAGGACCTGGCCCTGTCCCTTGGGAATTGGTCTATGCGGAGCGGAGCCTTGCTTACCTCTTCCACCAACGAGATGTTTCGATTCCCAAGTGTTCAAGCCACGTGTGAAGTTGTCCCAGGCGCTGATCGACACCGAAGGCCCCGTGCCCTGCTGACTCTTCCGCCAGCTGCGCAGAAGGTCTCGCGCCTGACACATGTGAGAGGCGAGCTCGATGGTTGGTCCGGCACATCCATCGGCAACAAGCGGCGCTGACGCGCAATCGATCTCTGCGGAGCTGCTGCTCGACAGTTGCGGCTCGGTCCTGAGGCGCAATGTCAAGGCTTCGTCCGTGAGCCGGATGAACGTGCGCAGGTTGCGGATCCACTCCAGCCGAGCGGGTGGCGGCTGGCTTGCCCCCCTCGAAGGCGTGCTATCCACCACCACCACCAGCCCCTCGCGCAGGCATCCTAATTCTTGTCCGATGGAAATGGCCACAGACAGTAGCATCCTGGTATCGATCAGTCACGCTCATCAATGATTGCCCAACCTCCCCAAAGCGCCATCGACACGCACCGAGACATTTTGCTGCTTCTGTATGCGGGCGCAATGATATTGAGCCTCTCCGGGACATTCGACGAGTCGGATCGTCGATACACGTCTGTCGGTCCTGCTGGGCCCTCCATTTGGGCTTCTGGGCCTTCGTGGAGCGGCGGCTCAAATAACTCGACCTCACCGCAGTCTCCGATGAGATCTTCGGGGGAATTGATGACCCGCGGGTGCCACTCGATGAGTAGCAACATGGCTGTGATCGCACCGAGACTTCGCATCGCGGAGGACCCCCAGATCGAGGACTGGATCAGCCGTTGAACCCACGGCCACGCGCGCCAATGGATTCGCTCCGATCGAGCCTGTCCGTTGAACCCGCGGAGGGCATGGTACCGCGAAGCGATCGTCACTAAGCTGATCGTGAGCACCGGCTCTTCGGACGCAAGGCCCGCATAGCGGTCCGCTGATGCGTAGCACCGAGGAATGACGGGGAAGAGGGGCCACAGCTGGGCGAAGTAGAAGCCCAGGTACTCGATCGCTTCATGGGGTTGGATGATCCCTCGTTTGACGAGGAAAAAGCGGTCCCACGCCGACGTGGGACACGCACTGACCGTTGGGGCGGATGAAGGCTGCTGCTGCTGCTGCGACGCCGTGCCCCGGCTCTGATGCAGATCCCCCATTCCCATCCCATCCTTCTCCAAGCCATCTTTTGTTCCGGAGACCGCGATCAGATCCAGTGCGTCGCATGCATCCAGGATACTCGTCGAGAGAATCCGCTCCTTGGTGCTGGACCCCCAGTCCGGGTTGCCAGAAACCACTGCCACCCCTTGCGGCGTGGATGCGCGATGCTGCATATCAGCTGGTTCAAGGTCATCTCGGGCGGAGATGTGATGCGAGGCGTGAGGTAGGGCTCCGGCCCCTGTGGTTGATGTTTGAGATGTCGCGGCCACGGCTTCTCCATCCTCGCCCCCCACAACAGCATCGGACACTGCGCTGCCGACTGGAGGTCGCAGCTTTCTCCTCTTCCTCCGATGAGTCGTCAGGCAGGCCCTGGACTCCTGCTGACAGCGCCAGCAAATCGAGCTACGTGATGATGGCTCACATCGCTTCTTTCTGAGTCGACAGTTATCGCAGGATTGGTATCCTCGCCTGGCTCGCAGACTGTCTGGAGAATGGGGTTGGTTCACCGGGAGGAAAGTAAGATCTTGGGAGGTGCTAGGCGACAGAGATAGCGTTGGCTCTGGTGACTGTCGAGGCATTGAGGGTGTCTTTAACCACCCAGTATTGTGGGTGCTGATCTTGTGTCCAGGCTGAGGCTGAGGTCAGAAAGTGTGCTTCAGATGCCGGAAGAAGGGCGGGGGCCCCGCTTGGGCGGTCGGTTTTACTAGTAGGTACGGAATACTCTGTAACGTTAACAGTTCCTGCTTGTAACATTGGATCATCTCAATTACGTTATGTCGAGAATGTTTTTTACCCTGAATCAAATATACTTAATCAAGTATACGGATTGCCAACTTTTGCATAACTCTCTACACCCGTTGGCACCCTATGTAGAACTTACGCCTAGTATGTTTATCTCTTTTCTTAGAACCAGGCTACTTTGTATCTTGTATCGAGTCAAAGCCCTGCAAACTGCGGGGCCAACCATAACACCTCCTAACACGCGGTGACCTGCACGTCCGATGCGCCATGAATAGCATCCCACGTCGGATATTCTTAAACTGGAAGTCCGCTTGCGGGGCCCCAGACTAGCTACCCCCGGATTCCCCATCGTACCCTTCTTGGACCTTCTAGGAAGAGGCCACCCTATAAATACGCGCGTTGTCCATACCCACTGGACAGTCAGTCCCAGTCTACTGCAGTATGATATCCCAGACAGGGATATCGGCATCATGCGGTTCTTAACTGTTCTGATCGTGTTCATCTTCCATCTCTTCCATACCTTATCCCTCGCCGTCCCCCTTGCCAAGCGAGCCACGTTAACGCAGGTCACCAACTTTGGCTCCAACCCGGCCGGCATCCGGATGTACATCTACGTCCCCGACGCCGTCGCCTCCTCGCCTGGTATAGTTGTTTCTCTCCACGGTGCGTCCGGCAACGCCCAGCAGCAATTCCAATCAACACCGTACGCGGCGCTCGCCGAGCAGTACGGGTTCATAGTGATCTACCCGGAGTCACCGCAAGGAGCATGGGACGCAACCTCCAGCAAATCACTTCTTCACGACGGCGGCGGTGCTAGCCAGTCCATCGCGAATATGGCGAGATATGCGTCTAGCACGTACCAGGCGAATGCGAACCAAGTCTTCGTCTCGGGGATCTCCTCGGGTGGGAGTATGGCGGTAAGGAGCCCATCCAAGTCATCTCTGATCCTCCCCAATGCGTACCCTGGGGGCAGAGGAGAAAGAGTCGCGATTGACGTCCTGGCCACAGAATACCATGGCAGACGCATACCCGGATCTATTCAAAGGAGCGATCATCTACTCCGCCGGGTCTTCCGCCGACATTCGCAGCATGTACCCTGGCTACACCGGGACCTACCCAAAGCTTCAGCTCTACCTGGGCTCTCAGGATACCATCATTGGCTCGTCGGCGTTCAACTCCACTCTTGCAGCCTGGGCCTCGGTCCTGGGGTACGATACCACGCCCGACCAGGTGGTGGGCAACACCCCCGTGCAGGATTATACAACATACGTCCTCGGAAGCAAACTCCAGGGGATCTGGGCGGAGGGAGTGGGTCATCCGGTGCCCACCCAGGGTGACAATGATATGAAATGGTGGGGATTTGCGAAGTGACCGATGCTGGGCTTGTGCCGTTTGATGAGGAAGTGGTTGACGGCTGCTGAGGCAGGCATCCTACCAATGTATCCATGATCTTGATGATTCCCTGGTAGTTCTGAGGATAATCCATCTTACTCCAGAGTACTACTTTACCTTCCTTATTATATACTCCATGACATTCCTTCAAGCCTCCGTATAGCTGTTCTACCTTTGAACTACACCCACCTAAAAGTCCAACTTTCTTCTATCTCTTACCTCTCCAGTCACTTTACTGTCTGGTACCAAATGTGAGCAACATGCCTCGGAATGCCTTCGGAGAAGATATAAATAAAGTCGATTGAGATTTCTGCACTGCAACCGCATTTATCTTCCAAGTCAGGCCCCCACACTGTTTTCCGCCGCACGTTGTTGCAGTGGAATCTTCCTGAGTGCAAATGGCTCTAGTGCTGATCAGTGAAAGCTCCTGATCTGTGCAACGTGGGTCCTTTCTTTTCGTTCCTTTTTCTTTGTTCGGGATCTGGCTACGGTGCCTAAGACCATTTAGTAGCCTACCTATTTATTACATAGATACAATACAATACGACTAGATGCGAGACTAAACCTATTCGGGAAGGTCTAGGGCTCACCGTCCTACCCTGGACCCTGGACCCTGGACCCTGAACCCCGAACCCTGAACCTTGAACCCTAGGCCTATAACAATACTATAAGTTTACTATGCAAAATGGGGTTACTGCAAATTGGCACGAGTAGCTTGCCGTAATAACCGTCCGTCCCATCGTAACTTACAGTTTTGCCGGCAAAAATAATCTGGTCTTGGGCATGTTCGGTTCTCCTAGAGCATCACTTTTTTCGTGATTATCATGGCTACATGTTCCGTTCGCTTAGTGTGATGGTCTTAGAGTCTTCTGCATCCGATGATTATTTTTGAAAATAAAATAAAAAAAAAAAAAAAAAAAAGAAAAAAAGAAAAGAGGTAAACCTCGCACTTGTCTTGAAGCGCGGGAAATGTCAATGTGGCATTGATTCAAATAGACCCGTTATACACGCATGGCCTACTTACATCAGAAGGAACAAGAATGATAGGTATACATAAGGTAAAATCACAGAAGGCTCCAGATACGTTCCCCGGATGGAGGAAGTCATTGGCTGTTTTTTTATGCCGGTGGGTCCGAGACCTTGCCAGAAGGGGGGAGAGCCCAGCTTGTCACGGGGTTGTGATATCCCCTCAGCGTCGTGTGGCAAGTCAGGTTCTATAGGGTCTGTCTTGCAGAAGCCGTCTGGAACTTCCGACCAATGGTCCGAGCGGTCCTGTGGTCGCATGCCTGCTGGCCCTGGGAGGTCTCCATCTCGTCGCAGCTCGGCCGACGGACCGATGAGGGAGTCGTAGCAGCTGGAGATGCAGCAACGGTGGCAACCGCCTGGACTGAGGATGACGACAGGATCTCAGTAGCACTGGGGGGGAGGGTCGATGTACTAGTAGCCACCGGGCTTGTCTCCGCAGGGGCAGAGTCCTCGCCGCTACCACTATTACTACTGATATCATCGGCCACAGCCCCGCCATTCTCCTTCATCTCCACGCTGGTGAGGTAGTCACTGGTGCCGTGATCCGGGTCCTGATCCGTCGGCGTGCACGACGCCTCCACCGCCTCCGAGCCATGCTCGCCGGCAATGAACTGCTCGTCGTCATAGCCCCCTCCGCCCTTGGTCAGCATGTTCTCCGCCGCATCCGCAAACCAGCCGTTGATAAAGTCGGCATGGAAGCAGTATCCGTCCCCCGGGGTGTCGCTGCAACTCAGCTGGAACGGGGCGGCGTCCCCGCTCCACCCATCCGGCGCCACCTTCTTGGTGTCGTAGAGGACGCGATACCGCAGCTGCGGGAACGACGACATCCCCTCCGGGCAGGTGTGGGAGTCGTCCGGGAAGTCGTACTCCGCGATGTTCGCCGGGTCGACGCACGACGGGAACACCAGGTTCACCTGGAGGTGCTGGCTGCAGGTGCTGGTGGGCATGCGGGCCACGTCGGCCTCGCGCTCGTCCGAGCCCTCGCAGAACCATTCGAGGTCGTTGTAGGGGTGGTCGGCTTCGGCTTGCGTCTTCGCGGAGGCGTTGCCGGAGATCATGGCCAAGTCCTGCGGGATGGCGATCGCGGAGTAGCTGTTGGTGTAGTAGGTGCTGAACTTGAAAATCGGCACCTCGGTGTAGGTGTCGCCGTCGACGTAGTAGAGGGTCGGTACCCCTGTTGTGTGGGTTATCGCAGCAATGTTAGTGACCAACGTGTGGGATATGGTAGGTACTAAGTTCCGGGGAGGGGAGGGACATTTCTCACGTACAGTAGACTGAGAGGTCGTTTGGGTTATCTCCGCTGTAACAGCCCTGCTGGAGGTCGGCCGAAGTAGGCATAACATTGGTGATCGCATCACTCCCGAAGAACGTGTGCATGTGCGAAGTGTAGGTACCCGGGACCACAATCGCATCGATGTTCTTGCTCATGAACTGCGCATGGGACAGTTCAGTCCAGGCCGCAACAAGACTGGTACCAGCCAGGAGCGAGGCAACCGCGAGAAGACGCATCTTGATGATCGCGTGTTAAAGAAAGAAAGTACGAAAACGAGTGACACTGATGCCAGATCAGGGGCCAAATGACAGTGCAAAAGAACGGCCTTGGGTAAAGGAGGGACGATACTGATAGACCGATCTGAACCATAGCTCATGCTTCTCTTTATAGTCGCTGTCGAGATATCCAATGGTCGCTTGGCGTTGAGCTCTGTAAACAACTGAACCAGAATGTTTTGTCTAGAATGCCACCAATGGAGCCATACAGCCTGGAAGGGGAATATCCGCCCTGTCGGATCTACGCATTGAGAACAGCCGCCATGTAGACGCCACAGCAACCGAGCGTGGTTTTGGATAGATAAAAAGACCCTCTGCTTGCCTCACACAGCTTTGTCCGGTGAGCACGCAAGGCCACGCAAAGCCCATGAATTGCCTGTGGAGCCTCGCTTAGCCCTGTGCTGGGGCTTCTTTTACGCGATATGGCCGAACGGTGGTTACAGATCCTGGATATTGGGTAGCCAAGGTCTTGGTGCTGTAACGGATATACACGGTATTCTCGTGATTAAATGCTTGGCATTACAAAGCTATTACCGTTTCCGCTTTATCTCCACCATTCTCTCTCTGCCCACTGCTCAGTAATTATCATCTACTTAGGGTCTATTATTCGAAATCTTGCTCCTCTTCCCAGTCATCGTCTTCTATTTCTCTTATATCGGTAACGGAGGGTGTTGATGGTCTCGAGATGCCTGCTGCAATCAACCGATCGGAAATTATATGCAGCGACAGATACTGAGAGCTCAAGGTGATATGCTGCTCCAAATCAACTTGCTGGCGTAATCGCTTAGTGCTCTGGTCTGCATTCGTCATCAATATCTTGAACTGGGCTCTCAGCGAGTCATCCTGTACAATCGCACGTAAGTATTCGATGACGGTCGTCAGTTCCTGGAAGCTCATGTGGAGGTCTTTATCAAAGCAACACACCGCATCGATGATACAGTATACGGTTACATCTGAAGGGAACTGGCGAGCTAGTCGATGCAACAGCACACAGAGCTTGCCCAAATCATGTTCTTCCAGCTGCTTGAGCAAGGCTCTCGAGTTGATGAACTCAATGCTCAGAAGGCCCCGTCGACGCAAGATCAGTAGAAGTTGACAGACGAGACTGCGAACCAGCCCGTTTGGTCCAGCCCAATGATCCTTCGAGGACTTGGTACAATGCAATCCGCAGAAGAAGTGTATTACCACATCCTCCGGTCGCACTTCCGCCAAGCTCAACACAAATGTTGCACAGAAGACGGAGATAGGAGTGACGTTGTGGAGTGCAAAGGATCGGAGGTTCGCATCAACAAGGAGCAGGTCTGGGTGTTCTCGATTCATCCATTCCACGAAACGAACATTTTGCAACACGGACTGTGCCTGGCTTTGCGCCTGGGCGTCGAATGTTATGTTCTTTCCTAGAACAATCTCCAAATCGTCATTGGGCTGCCCGAATGCTGCACCGTAATCAGGCGGCTGGCCTCCATTTGAGGGCGATTGAACCAGAACTTCCAAGAGCCGGGAGAGGGAGACTACTGCCGCGGAGCTTCGTTCATCCCTGCGAGGAGAGCCTTCAGTCTCGGCCATATAAAGGCGTTGCTGAAGCTGTAAGTTCAAGCTTCTCTCTTCTAAGTATTGCAGTCAGCTTTTGAATCAGGTCAGCTTGACAAGGATCACTTACTCCTCCAATCCTCGAGTAAGAATTGCAGCATTTGGTTCCTAGCATCCTGGCTGTTACCCATCATCCGTGATTGGGTCTCTATGAAATGGTTCAGCCTCTCCTCCTCTCTTCGAATTAATTGGATGATCTCGAGGTGCCGTTTCTCCCCGGCCTCAATCCCCGTCTTGACCTCTCTGACATTGATTGAGACGTTTTGTAGGATACCGTCCGTGCTCTGAGCGAACCTTTGGACCTCAGTCAAGCCTCCGGATATCTCATCGATTCCGCTCTTCACAACCTGCACGTCAGCATTAATTTGGCGTGTGTTGATCTCTGTTTCCTTTTGGGTCCAACGCATGGCATGAACCTCGTGATGCGTATCCCTTGAATAGCGCTCGATCGCTTCTATATGCGTGTCTCGACATCTCTCAGCAGCGAGTGAGAGCATATCCGAAGCTTCTTTGACTCGCTGTAATGCTTGTTCTGGAAATTCATCATGCCTTCGAACTTTGGAGTTCGATGTTATTCGGAAGTGCCTCTTTTCTTCCACGGTCCCGTAGCAATCCAGATGGCTTTTTGCAGGCAGAGAATTGAGAATAATCTCGATCGCATCGAGGATGGCAATGTAGAGATCCTTTGTGTGCTGGCTCACTTCCGGATCAGTATGGAAACTTCGCCGTTTGCGCTTCACTTCCACGATAGCGAGTTGGAGTTCATGAAATGTGGTAATTATTCTCTGCCTTCTTTCTGCCGACTTTGCTGCCAACTATATCAAAGAGTCAGCTGTGTACAGAGTACATCGCATTATCTTACCTCCACGTCAGACTTACATTCAATGCAACCGCGATCCCAACTTTCACAACAGCTAGTCCGTAGCTGTCAGGGATGATATTAATCCAGGGATCGATCAGTTCCCGATTCTCTCCAACCTTCAGCCATGCCTTAGCGAAGATTGCACGCGCTCCTCTCTCTTTGGCGGGTTGCCAGTCCCTTTCAGCTTCCGTGACTCTGTCGAAGACTGCCTCCCATGCTGCACAATCCTCCGGCTTTGCTCCAAGGATTCTTTGAACGTGCTCTTTGAGTACAGCCTCTAAGTTTCTATACCGATGTTATTTCCGAACCTTGCCCACCGGACCTCTTGCCACGGGCCCTGTCCAAAGATGTGCAGTTTGAGTTCCTTCAACGCCGATCAGAGAAGAAATATGCCTACCTGTACGGCTTCGCACTCTCAAACTGAGCTCGCTGGTCATTATATTCCGACCAACCTCCAAGACCTTGGTGCACCTTCACCCCCTCGTCGCTAATAAATTTCGCTGACGTTGCGGCTGCCGCGTCGCCAGCTCGATAATAAACCACTTCCATACCAAAGGACTAGGGTAAGAAGTATGCCTGGTTTGCTTTGACGCTCATAGGGACTAAGAGAATACTACAGAGTCAAGAGATGGGGTGAGCTCGCTTTCAATGCAGAAGACAGCAGCGGGCTCAGCTTCGTGGCGCCCCGATCCTTCAGGGCACAGCCACGAGTAAGGCGGACTCTATTCTGGTTGGCCGACTGACTAATTCGGCCTGTAGCTGCCTTGTTCTCTGCGACTAGGTCTTCACATCTCAGATAGTCATTGGATGGAAGATAATTCAGAGAAGGGGTTGTCGTGTGAGTTGCGGTTGAAAAAGACACCAACGCGAGAGTGCGGGGAAAATCGTCCCAGCCTTGCCGTCGGTTTGCTCGAGTCACGCTTGGCCACCTTAAATGTGGCATTTAAGAGGCGTAGGCGCTTACGCCTCGTATTCAGTGATTCGAGTGATAAATTCTAGCATCGAAAGACGCCGTGGTCTTTCTTTCTTTCTTAATGTCCGAACGTGCACGTTTCTCGCCCAGACACTTTGTTCTACAGTCCTGATTTCACCTGCCCCGCCACAGATGGATACTCTTCTTGTGTCGGAGAAGCCTCCACCACTGAGATTTGACCCAAGCGACGGAAATGTCGTGAAGCATAAGCAGGACCTTAAAGAAGAGGTCGTAGGGACTCGACAGATTTCCGACAAGCCTGATGATATCGCAGAGCGCAGTCCTGACTTACCGGCGCCACGTATCAATGCCAGCGACCAAGCAGAACATCCTGTGTCTGTGACAAGAGACATTCCAAATCCGGATCCTGACAGTACGCCATACGATAATGCCAGGAACAACGAACGATATAACAGTATAGGGGCGTTACCGGATCAAGACGACTGGCAGGACAAAATCAAAAATCTGCCCAAAATCCCCGCTGTCAAAATGATGAACTTTGACCAGTTCAAAAATCGGCATGGACTGGAGAATGGCGTCCATATCATTGAAGTCCTCCGAGCCGGGTCGGGTACGAGAAACGAGATAAACAACTCGCAATTGGAACACACCAGGCAGGCACAGGACCATACCGCAGAGAGCCCTGATCTACAGGGAACCTGGATCCAGCGGGTTCGAATCCAGTCGGAGCCCATCACGCGGTACATTCAATATGTGGCGGGCGCCAGTGGCATGGATGTCACGCGGCCATGGACTTTCTTTCGGCCATTTCACTTTTTCATTGTCTTTCGCTCAAAGATGAAAGAAGCACTCGAGAACTTGGAAGAGACATGGGCTTACGCCGAGAGGTTGGAGTCTTCTGGTCTGAAGCAAACGGCTATAGTGGCAAGGGAGACACCGCCGGTTCAGGACAAGAAGGCTGGTGATGAGACGGAGGAAAAGAAAGAAGCAGAGATGGATCCCACTGGCCCGGAGATGAGCAGTATCACCGCGTTGAGACATATGCGCTGCTATGTAGAATTTGTGGATAAGGAGATATATCCGCTATTCGAGCGCTTGAGAGGATCAACACCACAAAAGATCCGCTTCGGTGATCTTTGGTTGCTTCTTAAATATGACGAAATGCTTTACTCTCCGCCCGAGGGAGAGGAGTCTCAGAGCTCAAGCCAGCCGATATCACCAAGATCAAAGTCGATGACTCAAACCGCCTGGAAACTGTGTGGAGAATGGATTCCTACCCCCAAAGATGGACATCCCAACGACCTTGGCGAAGAATCCCAAGAGTATCAAGCAATCTGCTACCATGTTGACCACGACGGTGAATCATACGGAGCAGTAAAGCACGTCTTCAAGATTCAGTACTTCGAAGGAGAGAGGGATATCACGTCGCTGCCTGTTTACCCGCTGCGGTTTGCAAAGGACTCCGAGCAGATCTTTGCGCGTCTAAAAGCCCAGGGCGAGAGATTCCAATCACTGATTCATGAGCGACACCTGCGTTATGAGGGGTGGACGGTCATCAACACTCCTACCGGAAAACTGATGACGGACTTCAAGACACCAGAGCACATCGAGAGTGAGGTGATCATTGACTTGGCCGAGGGATACCAGCGGTACCCGGCATGCAAGCCTGAGTTTGTCAGATATTACCTGGACTCAGACTTTTGGTCACTGGGCGAAGATAATATCGAAATCAAGCACTGGTCTGATGCGAAACGCACAAGGTTACTTCATTCCACCAAGGAGAGATTGGTTCTTGGAGACTGCTCATTCAACCGAAATTTCAACAATTGGCTGAAGAGTCAACCATCCTTCCAAATCGGTCTCGACACGAAACTTACTCAGGTCACGGGGGGTGATGTTGCTCTTTTCCCGCGGCGTCTCATGGCGTATGTATTACGAGAACGAAAGTTTGTGATGGTGGATATCTGGTCTCTACAGCCAGTAATGGCGCATACAAATGCCTTCCGAGATTTGAAAATCAAGCCCAGCCACAAGCGCACGGTGATGTCACTGGTGCAGGCGCACTTCAAGCGTGAAGAATGGCGCAAGAAACACCCGCGAGTGGACCTCAGTCAAGACCTCATTCCGGGCAAAGGGAGCGGCTTGATTATCCTGCTGCACGGTGCCCCTGGCGTTGGTAAAACCGCCACCGCAGAAACCGTTGCGCAGGCGGCCAAAAGACCGCTGTTTGCTATCACCTGCGGTGACTTGGGACTAACGCCTAGCGAGGTCGAGGAAGCGCTCAGCAATATTACCCGCCTGGCGCACCTCTGGGGCTGTGTGCTACTCTTAGATGAGGCTGATATCTTCCTGTCGAGAAGGGGGATCACTGACTTCAAACGAAATGCTCTTGTTTCAGGTATGTTGTTGTGGTTGCTTATGAAAAACTCTGGTTCGGCGGACTGACTCCTGTCCAGTCTTTCTCCGTGTACTCGAATACTATAGCGGTATTCTCTTCCTGACCACGAATAGGGTGGGGTCGATTGACGAGGCATTCAAGTCCCGCATCCATATGAGCCTGTACTACGAGCCACTGAAACGGAATCAGACATTAGCCATCTTCCAGACCAATATCGATCGGCTTAAGAGAATCGAAGCCAAAAGAAAAGAGCAGCCGCAAGTCGAGGAATGGAGGGAACCACCGTTGACGATCAACGAAGACGGCATTCTAGACTATGCCGGATGGTACTTCGATTCTTTTCCCGAGGCGCGATGGAACGGACGCCAGATCCGCAACGCATTTCAAGTCGCTTTCTCCCTGGCTCAGTACGACACACGGAAAAGCTCCCTCGATAATTGGGGAGACGGCCCAGAGCCCGAGGACGAAGAACCTGCTACCGGCCCTGTCCTGGATTGGATGCAGTTCGAACGAGTTGCGGAGGCGATCGACCAGTTCGACAACTATCTGCAGGAGGCGACTGGGGTCACTGACCTCGATGCTGCACGAGTCGATCGCATCCGAGCGGACGATTTTGATTACCGTCGCACCGCACCCCGTCCGCGGTATCAGCCCGCACGCTTGGCTCGCGGAAGACCCGCTGACTCGCAGCTTGCTCGTCCTGACCACTATCGATCGAATGTTCGCTCCAATCCACCTAGACGTCCACCTCAAGGTCGGGGACAGCCAGCCAGTCACGTTGATCAGAGAGAAAAACTGCCCGCAAGTCAGGGTGGACTGTACGAGCCAGGTCGGCGGCGCTATCAGCCAGGACAGGGCGCTTCTGGAAATCATCCACAGCGCCGGCCGCAACCTCGAGGAGGAAATGTGGTTCCCACGGACTGGGATGATGAAGCGTCGACTTATCCGGATGATCCCCCGGTGATGGAGGAAGCGGAATATAACGATGCCTCATATGATCATGGCGATGATTTCGAGGAGGATGATAGATACTAAAGGATATTATACAATAGACCTATCAATTTTTGCTAGGTGAACACACAATGTATGACTGTGAGAGGGTGAGGTTGTACATGGGTTAACCACATGAGTATGATTACTATGCCACCCAGGCAGGCTACGACTAACTTAAGGGGGACTAGCAGAATGGAGATCAAAAGGCGGCAAAGCCGAGGTTGCCGAAGGTCCAAACAACACAACAACCGCGGCTTTCCACTGGGGCTCGCCCGCTTACTGTGGAGAAGAAACACCGCATTAATGGAATGAACTGGCCTTCTTCTTACCCATCCCTCCTCCAACTCATTAACTACATTTCCCACTCAAAACTCCACCAAACTCCACCATGCCGTTACCGAAAGAAGAATACCTCAGCGCCTCGTGGAAGGATGGCATTTTTGGTAAGTCCTCTCACAAGCTGAGCCAGGTTCTTATCATGCAGGCTGACTGTGGCTGACTCCCCCCCTTGGCAGCGAATAAGGTCGTCTTCTGTACGGGAGGCGCGGGCACAATCTGCAGCGCACAAGTGCGTGCTCTCGTACATCTAGGCGCCAACGCCTGTATCATCGGTCGGAATGTCGAGAAGACCGAGAAGGTTGCCAAAGACATTGCGACCGCCCGCCCTGGGGCCAAGGTGATCGGCATCGGAGCCGTGGATGTGCGAAAGGTTGAGAGCCTCAACGATGCCGCCAGCCGCTGTGTCAAGGAGTTGGGGGGCATTGACTATGTTATGTATGAATCCCGACACTTGAGACTTAGTCTGATCTATTGTGCTTTTGCTGACTGGCCCGCGTATAGTGCTGGCGCAGCCGGCAATTTCCTGGCGTCGATCAACCAGCTGTCCGCCAATGCTTTCAAGTCGGTCATCGACATTGATGTCCTTGGGTCCTACAACACCCTAAAGGCGACGCTACCTTACTTGGTGGAGTCGGCAAAGAAGCACAGCATTGACTCGGATACACGTAAGTAAAGTCTCGGAATCTCGGAGTTATCGGAGCCTCCTGTTGCCGCATTCCGCGCTTTGTGCCTGATAATTGTGCTTCTAGTCAAACCATCTCCGCTGGGTACCGGAGGCCGGATCATCTTTGTTAGCGCCACCATTCACTATAGAACCATGCCGTTCCAGACGCATGTGTCGGTTGCCAAGGCCGGCGTGGACGCGCTGTCGCATAGTGTGGCTATCGAATTTGGGCCGCTGGGGGTGACTTCGAACATCATTGCACCGGGTCCGATCGGCTCGACGGAGGTATGTTAATGATTCGTGCTTGAGATCTATTGCTGTCTGGGGCTAATACCTGGGTGTAGGGCATGGATCGTCTGCTGCCGACCGATAACAAGGAGGCCTATGTCAAGTCTCAGCCACTGGGGCGGCTGGGCTCCGTGCGCGACATTGCTGATGCCACTGTATATCTGTTTGCTGACACTGGCAGCTATGTCAGTGGCCAGACGCTTGTTGGTAAGTTTATTTCTGATCTGATTTGGTGGTGAAATAAGATACTGATGGTGTGAGCTAGTCGATGGGGCATCATGGCGCATGACGGCCGGGGGGGCCGCTCAAGGCGCTCTTCAGTATCCCGATTTCCTCCTGTCCGGAGATGCGGTACCTAATGTTAAGGGGCAGAAGACGTCGAAGCTTTGAGCGGATGGGATAGAATGGGTATGGGGATTTGAATAGAGATAGATAGAGCCTACTATTAGAATAGTGCAGCGGATCGTATTCGTATAAGAGTGCTGTTGCCTGGAGAAGAAGTACGCGCTTTACCCGGACTTAATTACTGTATGGGGATGAAATCAAGGAGAATCATGGATAGCTGAGATAATCAACCTTGGGCGTCAGATCTATTTCGAGCATTGTCGAGTCACGTGCAGAGTCTGACTGAAGAGGATGCGTCAGCTATTCTGGAAAAGGACTAGTGGCCAAGGACCAATGCGTCATCAGCCCCGTCACAGCGCTCCTTTCAACCAATCAGCAATCCAGATTGCCCCCCGAGACTGGCCCCAGGCATCCAAGCCCCTCTTCTCTCAGGCTCTCAGGCACTGATCCATAATGGCTCCTGAGTTTCAAGTGCTCGGCGGCAAAAAGAGGCCAAAAGCGCCGGCCGCTAAGCCCGTCCGCGCGCCCATCACCATTCAATCCCACTCCATTCACTCCATCCACTCCATTCATCCAGCCTTAATTGTCTTGTCTTTCTCCGACTAGTCTCTAGTCGCCTGCGCCGACTACGTACGACAACTGTATTTTCTCCTTAGGTCACCACCCCATCACACCTTCCCTTTCCCTTCATCTACTCTGCTCTTTGTTCTTCATCTCATCTCATCTCTACTTCTGTCAACCACACTCTATCTATCCAACTCACTTACTTTACTTTGTGTTCAACAAACATCATCCGCTCCTTTCATTTCATGTGCATGACCTAGATCTCCTCCATCCTTTCCATATCCATCCACTATGCAGCTTCGCTCGTGCTTAGTAGGGGGCACTCTGGCCCTCGGTGCCAAAGCCCTGCTGGTTATCCCCGAAGTTGAGGGCGAGTCTATCGCCCCCGAAGCCGATTTGCCTCCCTTCCACCCTCTAGAGGCCTACGCCCCTCAGCAGTCGCAAGTTGAGCTTGCCTGCACCGAATGTCCTTTCCGTGAAGTTGGTGAGGATGGAACAGTCAGCTGGACTGATGGCCACAAGACCTCTCTTGTAAGTCACACCATCATGTGCATGCTCTCATAGTGGGCGCTAACGTTCCTGTCCACTCTCACCAGACGCTCGAATTCACCATCGAAGACGGCTTCCTCCTGGCCAACGGTCGCCAGATTTTTCCTCCCCCTCCTCCGACCTTGATCACCGCCGTTCAGCACCGACTCTCCGATGGTGCAGAGTCCGACCCCATCGCCGTCGGCTATGCCGTCGAGGAGATGCCTATTCCGACCTTCCCGGAAGATCCGATGGATCTCGTGGAAGTTCGCTTCACAGTTCTCGACCTTGACAGCCACCCAGTTCCCCTCGACACTGTAGCCGTGACCCTCATCCACGACTCCAACACCGGTGAACTGTTCATGGCGAAGACCGAAATTGAAGAAACCACTCCCGACCGCGGCTCCTGGGCCCAGTGCCGTGGCAAGCCCAAGTGCCTCCGCAAGCTTCTGTTCGACCGCATGCGCTCCTTGTTCGCCGCGGCCAAGGCCCGGATGCTCGACTTCGCCCCCCGACCTAAGGGCCACCACTGTGGGGATGCCCACGGATTCGATCACGATCACCCTCCCCACCCTCACCACCACCACGGCGAGCACGGCCATGGAAAGCCCGACCCCGAGGGCTTCCCCGGAGGTTTCCTGCCCGGGATGGACGGAAAGGGCCACCATGGCTTTGAGGGTCATCACAGCTTTGAGGGTCACATGGGCAAGTTTGACGGTCCCCATGGTCATCACATGCACCACCACCACCATGACCGTTTGGCCCACACTCTTCACCGCGTCGTCCGCTTCATCGTCGTCCCCGCTATCCTCGGTGTCTTGGCTGGTTTGGCTGCCAGCGCCCTTGGCATGTTGGTCGGTCAGATCGTCGTCTTTATGTGGCAGCGGTACCGCCGCTCTGCTCCCAAGCAGTCCGTCGAGCAGGGCACCGTGTCCGAAAAGCAGGGTCTCATGACTGAAGCCTCCGACGACTTCCCTCCCGCTTACAGTGACGAGGAAGCCGTGCTTGAGGACGTCTCCGGCAAGCACTGATTGCGGTTCTCATGAGTTGCAGCAGAGCCTCTCCCGGTTGGAACGATCGAAATCTCGTATCCCCATATGGCCACGATGTGATGCTGGGGGAGTAATGCAGCAAATTCTAGCAAATAGATTGATATCAACAAGTCCTCGTCTGTGGTTTTTCCGTTTGTGACAGATATAACCTTCGTTCAAAAATTCCTTTCCTTCTTCGTCCTGCAGGTGTCTTAGCGGTGATCTTGTATTTGGTCTTGAGTCTGTCCAAAGCAGGTCTGGACTTTTAGGATGTTAGTCTTTAGTGTAGCAACTATCCTTTTCTTTAACAGGTACCTTACGTATTTTGAACTAGAAATAAGCCGTATTCTCAGGACTCTTGCAAGCCTTAAGCTGCCCATTACGATAACCCCACTGAGTCAGAGTCGACCTATTTTTCCATGTCTCACTTTCAGCAGTGATATGCATCACGTGATGGCGGATGCGGAAGGCGGCCAGGAACGATCATCGCCCGGAGGGAGACCTTCCCCTCCTCTTCCTGCTCTTCCTCCTCCTCTCAGGCTTTCTCTCCAAACATCCTCATTCCGAGTCCTTCTGTCACTCGCAGTTGGATCTCTACACTCGAATGATGCTGCGCTGATCTTAGATTATGATCCATCTTGCCTAAATGACTACCATCGATCTTTCCTTACACCTTTCTGGCTCCGTCCTGCTCGCCGTCTGAGCTCCAGCAGCTCCCGCATCCGCCCGCCCGCCCGTCCGTCAGCCAGCCAGCCTGCCTGCCAGCCTTATACTCTCGACTCCGGCGCATTCGGACACATCTCCTTTCTCTCATATATTCTCCTACTACCATAAAGGATCCTGTGCTGCTCTCCACTGACGGCATGATGCAGTGGACGTCATTCGTTCAGAAGGCCCAGTCTTTCATCGACCCGGCCAATTTCACCCTACCGACGCTCACTTCCTCCGATCGCAACCCTTCCAAGGCCTCCTTGTTTCGCCAGCAATTCCGACTCCCAGACTCCCAGAATCCGCTACAAGAGATCACCGCCGAACTCATCCTCCCTGTTCCGCATACCTCCGGAGATGGCCCTCGCAACCTCGACCACGCCGGCAACCGATATGCCGGGCGACTCCACCTGAGTGAGCGGTTTCTCTGCTTCTCCACACAGGCCACGAGCTTCCACCCCTCCGCTAGTCTCACGGCCTCGACACATTGGGCCGGCCAGACCAACGGCACAGGCCCATCTGGCAATGGGTTCACTATCCCGCTGTGCTGCATCCGGCGAGTGGAACGGCTGAACAGCCTCAGCCACATCTTCTCCCTGGCGCTGACGACATGGAACGCTGCGCTGGGCAAGCAACAACCTCCGGGCTTTATCCCGCAAAGATTCACCATCCAGCTGGCTGGAAGCAGGCAGGCCTGCGAACGGTTCTGCGACGGGCTGAAGAAAGGACTGCGGGAGGGCATGAAGGAGATCGAGAATCTGCGCATAGTCGTAAACGATTGCTACTCGGAATATCTACTCTCCGGGGCCAAGGGGAAAGCCCAGGATGGCGATGCCTCCGACGTGCGGCAGCCGCCCGATGCCGGGCTGGGGATGATCTTTCGCTATCCCGGCGATGCTCGCAAACTTCGCGACCGCAGTAAAATGCGATTGTGGGGGGAGTACTTTCGAGGTATGACTCCTCCGTGTGGAAACAGCCTTTTTAATGTCTGAGACGTATGTTGAGTATAACTTCTGTAGAAAACGGTCGCAACGCGACGCTCATCCGCCAGCCTACCTTCCATAAGCTGATTCGAGTTGGTCTTCCGAATCGCCTCCGTGGCGAGGTTTGGGAGGTCACGTCCGGTTCGTTGTACCTCCGGTTAAGGTCGCCGAATTTATACACAGACACGCTGGCCAAATTCTCGGGGCAAGAGTCCCTGGCGATTGACGAGATCGAGAAGGACTTGAACCGCAGTCTGCCTGAGTATGCCGGCTTCCAGAGCGAGGAAGGTATCGGGCGCCTTCGACGAGTCCTCACGGCCTACAGCTGGATCAATGCGGAGATCGGATATTGTCAGGCGATGAATATCGTCGTTGCGGCTCTTCTGATGTACGCGGTTTTGCCTTATCGTTGTCTCTTGTGACCATGGGCTAACCTATCATTCCAGATACATGTCTGAAGCGCAAGCTTTCTTTCTGCTCTCTGTACTATGCGACCGGCTTTTGCCGGGCTACTATTCGACTACCATGTACGGTACTCTGCTCGACCAAAAGGTCTTCGAGTCTCTTGTCGAGAAGACTATGCCTGTGCTATGGGAGCACCTGACCAAGTCCGACGTCCAGCTTTCCGTGGTCTCCCTTCCCTGGTTTCTGTCCCTTTACATCAACTCGATGCCTTTAGTCTTCGCTTTCCGCGTTCTGGATGTCTTCTTCCTAGAAGGGCCGAAGGTTCTGTTCCAGGTCGGGCTGGCTATCCTCCGAATCAATGGCGAGGAACTTTTGGATATCCAAGATGACGGATCTTTCATCTCTGTCCTCAAGTCGTACTTCTCACGCCTGGATGAGTCGGCTCACCCCAGATCGGAGAATCCCAAGCTACGCGCGATCACTCGTTTCCAGGAGCTGATGGTGGTGGCCTTTAAGGAGTTCTCCCAGATTACGCATCAAACCATTATCGAGCAGCGAGAAAAGCACAAGGACGCCGTGCTGGAGAATATCGAAAGTTTCGCCAAACGTACATCCATCCGGAACTTGGGTCCCGACAGCAAGAAACTCAGCATGGACGACCTTGGTGCCATCTATGACCGCTACTATGAAGTCTTGTATGACAACCAGCAGAGGCAGAAGTTGCAGGAAGAAGAGAGAAGACGCCAGGAAAAGAAGAGGGTCGAAAGGACTTCCATTCTTGGGCCTCCCGTTGATCGAGAGGTTGGCCGTGTCGGTCTCGGCCCTAGCCCGACACATATGGACTATGACGCCTTCCGCGAGTTTCTCGCCGTCACCGCGAAGTGGGCTGTTTCGGATTCGCCGCGCAAGTCTTCGAGCAGCGAGCAGAGCTCCAACAGCTTCCGAGGATGGGGCAAGGCAGCCGCGTGGAACACCAAGAATCAACCAACCGATCACGAATTCATGCAACGTCTGTACCGGAAATGGGCGACTGATCCAGAGGAGGGCATCAGCTTGCAGAACGTTGTCAACGGCTTGGCTCGGCTGAAGGGCCCGCGGGACATCATGAACAACATCCAGTACTTCTTCGATCTCTATGATGATGAAGGAAATGGCACGGTTGATAGAGAAGGTATTCTTCGCATGTCCGAGGCTTTGTTGTTCCTCTCCAGACGAGGCTTTGAAGGCACCATTACCCCTACTCAGTCTGTTGACGACCTGAAAGCGAATGATGGCGCTCATGGTGAAGATAAGCTGAGCACGGATGAGAAATTTTTGGGGAGTGTCAGCTCCTTCATCAGGCGTTGTTTCGAGTATGCCGACCCCAGCAAGCCCGGGGCCAAGGCAGCGGAAGCTCAGCAAGACGCGGATGAAGCTGCAGACAAACTAGGGTCTTTCAGTATCGGTGACGATGAAGAAGAGGACCTGCTTGATCTGGACGATGATACCAAATCCGACCACACAGCGGTGACGGAACAGCCTGCTCAGCTCGCTGCGGAAGAGAAGCGTGACTCCGAACACAGTCGAACCGCTTCCGAAAGTGCTAACCCGGCTCTTGATCCTAACAACCCTCTGCACATCACACTGCCCACCTTCCGCATGGTCATTTTAGCTGATGAGCTCCTGGAACAATTCTTCGACTCTTACTTCCCCCAGTCGTTCCACCTCTCCGACCATGGCTCATATGCTGCAACCGCTTCGTCCCTCTCGTCCAATCTTACGACGTTCTCCAATATCAACGCCCCCAAGCCCCAGAGTAGCGCCATGTCGGCCCCCTCTGTTGGGGGCGCATCGGGTGGTATTGTACCTCCCGGCCGAGGACTTCGCGGCGTCCTGGACAACATCGTGTCCGATGGAATCCGCATGGCCGCCGAAGTCAAGAAGCGCATGGACGAAGCGCAGCGCGAGCTGGAACGCAACGCCCTCGGTCGCGGTGAGGAGGAAGACGAAGAGGACGAGGAAGATTACGATGGTCGCACTGGCCCCACTTCCGCTCCGTCCATTGTCGGGGGCATTTCCAGCTGGGGAGCTGGCGCGTATGGCGCTGATCCGGACCGCCGTAGCGTACGGGATGCCGATCGTGACCTCCTCGAGGGCGCCGAGGTCGTCAGCATGCGCGGCAAGGACGACGCTTCCCTCCTTGATGACAAGGATGGTCACCATGATAATACTCAGGCTCCTGCGACAGCAGCAGCCCATGCACCCGACAACGTGGTCAGCAAAGTTGAATTTGAGTCTTAAATTATAGACATTTCCCGAGCTAGGCTCTCTCATCCACACTCATTCCATTCCACCGCTCCCCTTCCAACTTACACATCTACCCACCCTCCTTCATCCACTCCATTTCCTTCGTCCCCACACAGCCCTGGAGATGCTACTTCACCTACTCCCTATATGAATCTCCTAAAGATATTCCCTGAAGATAAAGAAAGATCCCTCGCTCCTACCGTACCTGCCTGGGAGGTCGGGCATGCAATTCCAATTCCTCTTATGCCTGTTTATATCGGCTGTCGCTTAGAGACCTTTCTTTTTACTTGATGTGCGTCTTCCAATGCATGTTCATGGACTTCATCCAGACTAAGACAGATGGATGTCGATGGTATTGTTGATAGTGATTGTATGTATTCGTCATCGTGATGTGTATGACCGTATGTATGCTTGCATGCATGTATGTATGGCTTTCGTGCTATGGAGTTTACGAAATAGGACTTCGCTTAGGCAGTCTCCTCTGACAACGAGCTGGATGCGAAGTAGAGTCTCAAGCGTGCTGTGCATTAATTCGGGACGGGCTCGTCGGCGCGGTACTGCCGCCATTATATTTCTCCTCGCACCAGACCCATTTCCTCGCTTCAGCTCGAGGAATCTAGCAGACAAGCCTCAACTAAAGATATAAAAAGTACCGCTTTATCGATTATCCAGCAACATGTCCAAATGAAAAAAAAAAAAAAAAAAAAGAAAAAAGAAAAAAAGAAAACCATTGGAAATGGTCGGAGTCTGTAGTTGGCTACCCGATTTCCACACTCTGAGTATAGTATGCATTTGCCGGCCTGATTGAACTTGTTTGATTATTTATATCCGCTAACCCTCATAACTACGGAAGACTCAAGGGATCGCCGCGCCCGGAACACACGCATACACCGGCAATTCTTGAGGATGGAAATGTCTTTTGCTAG